CTATATATATATAAAAAACACCCACCTTTCGCCCTCTGTGGGGCGGTTATCCCTCTCTAAGCTCGGGTCCTCTACCAGAGGCCTGGGAGCTTGAGGGTTCTGCGCAGTATCTTTGCTGTTCCTAGTGTAGTGGTGCGCACTCCCGCTGGTTAGCCAATCAGAGTTTGGTCCGGCTCTTTATAGAGGCGCGTCCTACCTCAGCCCGACCTCTTCCGCCTCTGACGTCGAGTGACTTGGCCCGGGACAGAGCAGGTGTTTTGATCAGCGTCTCGCTACCAAACTACCTACTACTAATTGAACCACGCGATCGTCGTATGCGCTTTTGGTGAGTACTGCGTAGTGATTAAAATATTAGTTAGATTATCCTAAAATCGTGTTTTGTAGCATACCGGCGTCTTAGCGCGCACACCGCTGCTGTGCCTGCTCTCCTTCACCGGGCCCTTTGGCGTAGATGTGACTGCCGTGCGTAAAGGCTTGTCCCAGTGTGAGCTGTCACGGGCTGGGGCGGCTCGTGCGCGGAGCGCTTCAATCTGCAACGGTATGTTTAACTCTGTGCGCCTCCTGAACAATACATACAGTACATAGGAGTTTGTTTCTAATACACAATAATGTTTTAGGATTCCTGTTGTCTCCGACCTCCCCTTCCAAGTGGGGTCTTTTGCACTGTAGTCTGGCCTTTTAAATCTAACTGCACCTTATGAGTGGGAGAATATAAATCTGTGGTGGCCACGGGACTGCAGGACGCGTATCCCATCCAGCGCCTCCAATCCTCCACGCACCTCAACTAAGGACAATCAAACCAGTGCTTCTTTTTATTCCTCTACCCACAAGGTAACCAAATTCCGTCCCTAGTGTGGCTGAACGCAACGGCTGCTGTAGTTGGGACACTTTTAAAAGTTAATTGTTTCTTTTCTTTTTTTGGTTTATCTGCCTGTTTATTGTATTGTTCTGGAATGCATGCAGTATGACTGAGGATGAATGGGAGTGTGTGTGTGCTGTGATTGTTGAGTGTTTTAATTAGAATAATCAATGAAACTTGTCAGCTATTTAAATAAACTTATATTTTGTTAGATTTGGCTCTGTCTCTCTCCATATCCAAACGAACCTGGGGTCTAGTGATGCGGGGATAAACTTCTTAATGGTTCCTTAGGCCAAAATCTAAGGTGGCGTTGCTGGTATTATTTATTTGTATAGTTCTCATTGAAAATATAGTGAGATTCTAGCTAAGTGCTTCCGAGCTCGCAACACTAGCACTGCACATTTCTGGACCGAGATTTCCGAGGTTGTTCCAGGGATCCGCTGTAACCACTCCTCCAGCTTCGGGGTCACGGCCCCGAGTGCACCGATCCCTACGGGCACTACTGTCACCTTTACCCTCCAGGCCTTCTCCAGCTCCTCTCTGAGCCCCCTCAAGCTTTTCGTGTTCTTTTTTTCTGATGTTGCCATCACTTGGAATTGCCATGTACACCACCACGGCTGTCCTCTGCCCTTTGTCCACCACCACGATGTCAGGTTGGTTCGCCATTACCATTCGGTCGGTCTGTATCTGGAAGTCCCACAGGATCTTTGCACGCTCATTCTCCACCACCTTTGGAGGAGTTTCCCACTTAGACCTTGGGGTTTCCAGCCCATACTCTGCACAGATGTTTCTGCACACTATGCCAGCCACTTGGTTATGACGTTCCATGTAGGCCTTCCCTGCCAGCATCTTGCACACTGCAGTTATGTGTTGGATCGTCTCAGGTGCCTCTTTGCACAACCGACACCTGGTCAATTATTTGGCTTAGAGGGTTCAGGCCTATGCAGAACAGTAGTGGGGACAGAGCATCTCCTTGGTAGATACCACATTTGATGGTCACTTGTGCGAGCGGCTTGCCATTTGCCTCAAGGGTGGTCTTCCACATTCCCACTGAGTTTGCAACGAAGTCCCTTAGAGCCCTGTTGATGTTGTACAACTTCAAGCATTCCATGATCCATGTGTGTGGCATTGAGTCGTAGGCTTTCTGGTAATCAATCCAGGCTGTCCGGTTGGTGTGTCGTGACCGGCAGTCTTGGGCGACTGTTCTGTCAACCAGGAGCTGGTGTTTGGCTCCTCTGGTGTCTCTACCAATGCCCTTCTGTGCTGTGCTCATGCATTGTTATCGCTTATCTTAGCCGCAATGATGCCTGATGTATGTCCATGGCTCCCATGGTTGCTCTTATAGCCAAGCATCTCCAGGATCACTGCTGTATATCAGCTCATTGGTTTCAGTGATTGTGGTGGTAAGTATCGCCCTCACTGCTGCATTCACGCTTTCTATGAGATTCTTAGGCCCCGACTCCACCGGCTGCGTAAAACGTACTACGTATCCGTCCAAACGTGCCCGTCCAAACGTGTCCATTTCATCTCCGTTTCCTCCATGAGGGTGAATAGAAGAGGCTCCACTGCCCACAACATGCGTTCGTATGATGCGAGTAGGGAGCAGTCCGTCCACGCAGGGTGCAACGGACGCGGACGGACGATATAGAAACAAAAATAATTTTTTACGTCCGTTGACGCGTGTCTGGTCCGTTTTCCATTGAAAATACAATGGAAAAATATATTCCATTGTACATGTACACATGTACTGATATATGTGTAGTCCTTGGTTATAAGTGTTTGTTAATGACAATGATTATTGTGTGTAATTTATTTTCATCAAATTGAAATAATTGTTTCCTGTCGTAATCGTATATCTACCGTTTATTTTTTGCGTAATGTTAATGTTGACTGGCTTTCAAAAAAGCCTGGATATGTTGGAGTTCTTTTTTTCTTTTCTCTTTCCCTTTTTCCAATTGCTCTCAATAAGTTTTGCCTCATCCATGCTTTGCATATCATAGCCACAGCTCATGCAAATCACACCCCGCTTCTTCTATTTAAAACAAAGCCTCATGGGGTGCGCGCTGCTCAAGCCAGTGTGGCCACTATTTCGTTTTACGGACGTCTGACAGGCAGCAGCCTACGCGAGTAAACGGAGACGCGCCCGGTGGAGTCCAGGCCTTAGGTGGCACTTCACACAACTGCTGTAACCTGTGCCCATTCTTGCCGTAATCTTAGCTTTCAGGTCAGTCGCTGCCTCGTTCAGCGTTATTGGTTCCATTGGGGCTATGTACCCAATATCTGGTTGGGGAGTTGGTGGAACCTCCCCTCTGACCTCGGCAACTGTGGCATCTGTGGCATCATACATGTGTTGTACCTCATCGATCCCAAGCTGTGATAGCAGTTGCCCTTTGTGGATGTTGGAGCATTGAGCTACTAGTTGTTTCGGGGTCAACTGTGATTGTGTTTCAAAGTAGCCATTCAGCCCACATTCCAACAGAGCCCTGTTATCGCATCTCGCCCACATTCCTGGTTCCCACTGTCGCGTTGACAGAGCGGCTCACAGCTCAGACACAACCGATGCACAAAATGATGCAGCCAACGCGTGCTTCCCGCACAGTCAAGACCCGCGATTGTGGCCAAAGAGTGCACACTACCATAGAGCACGCACACTTACCAGTGAAATGGATGGATCTGGAGCATCAGGACTCGCAATGTTCACAAGTCCAAAAACAACGAGTTCGAGTCAAGTCCCGAGTCTTTTGGGGACAAGTCCGAGTCGAGTCGCAAGTCTCTAAAAATAGCGACTTAATCTCTGTCATATTATATATTCTTTTTTTATATTAAATGCTGGTCGATTTCATTGCACAAAGTATAGAGTTCACAAAATTTACTGAACTTTGAACTAGTTCAGAATTAAAATAGTGAACTGTTCACTTTGAGCATGTATGAACTGAACTTGAACTAGTTCAGAATAGCTGTAAACTGGCACAGCACTGCCCGGCGCTGATTGGCTAAAGCTAGTGCAGGCTCTGACACCAGCAGAAAGCACCAAAACAACCGGCATTTTAAAAATCCAGCAGCATTAGCCCAGAAGACACAACTGGAAACAGCAAACAACAGCACAGCATTGATTGAGACTTGAGGCATCGCAAAGAAAATAAAAGATATATTAAGACATATCAGCTTCACTCCAAAACAAGCCGTGAAAAGTTTTATAAAACTGAAGCAGGACTATAAAAATCTCAAAGACCACAACAACCGGAGCAGTACTGTAAAATAAACAAATGGGTTTGGTTTCTTATGCGGCAATCGAGACTCATGACGTCGCCGAGTGGTCCTACTCTGCAGTGCAGACCGACTGGGAGGACAGAGGAAGAGGAAGGTTCATGTAAAAGTTCCATCCCACTCCTTTTACCAGGAACTCCCGCTGTGGAAATGTGGCTAATGTAAACTAAAAAAGCTCAACCTCAGCTGACAAAGAACCTACAGCATTCACCTTTGTGAACTTTTTGTCAAAAAAACGATGCACAATAATGCGCGAGATCCGCTAATCTTTCCGTCCCCATGGCGGCACATGCGCCACTGTGCACAAGCCATTGATTTGAATAAGACGCCATCTTGGATCGCCGGGCTTGTTCAGACCAGACACCTACCCCCACTCACACACAAAGAGGACCGTGCCTGCACAGAGCTCAATGGACCCACTGCAGCTGTTCACAAACAGTGCTTGCCCTTCTCTCTCACACAAATGTTCAATAAAACAGTGTTTTTTCAATAAATAAATGTTTTTTGCTTTGTTCATCAATCACACATGTTGCAAAACATACACAGGGCCGACACAGAGATACTGAACAGTGCAAAGTTACTGTAAGTGTGTGCTAGTGTGCGCATGCGCGAGTGGCTGTGTTAACTTTGAATGTTTTTTGAACTGGCCAGGGAGAGAGGAGAGTAACGGTCGTGTTGGGCTGTTCACGAATAAATGGAGACTGCTTATCTTATTCTCCAAAGATACTTCTGCCTCTGCATCTAATTTCTCCAGCTTGCCTGTTACATTGGTGGCAGCGGTGTTGGCTGGACGTTCCTTCGTTTCTACTCGGGAATTGCAGTTGCCGTTATTTGGTGAACTATGTTTGGAAATGTTCATGGATCTGACGCCGGTATGGCTGAGGATGAATGCAAGTACGTACCTCTGTGGACCCAGGGGGTGTGCAATGTCAGAGTGGACCTTCCTGCAGCATTTTGTGGAGATGGACGTAAACTTTTCGCTACCTGGATAAAGCAGTTCAAAGCGGCGGTCCACGCTCAGACCCGGGGTGATGGAAGGAGCTATGCCGCGTCCTTATCCGCTCTGCTGCCCACCCGGCTTGATGGTGCAGCGTTTCTGTTGTGGGACAGCCTGCCCTCGTCTGTGCAGTGTGATTTTGATCGGGTGAAGGAAAAACTCAATGAGGCTTTTGGACAGAAGCAGTTTTTGCTGTACTTTCAGACGTGTGTCTCGGCTTGTCCCCGTGGGGCAAGCGAAAGCCTGGAACTGTACGCTGCGGACCTTTCCCGGCTCGTTGCTGAAGCTTTTCCGGAGTATAGCACAGAATGGTGAGAGGTTCCATCGCTTTCTGGCTGGACTTGACCCTGGGCTGCGGGCCAAATGCCACGAACAGGGCGCAATTGACTTGGAGGAAGCACCGATATAGCGGGTCGATGCAAGCGGACTAGAATTGCCCTGGGGAGGGGACCGCACTGGGCACCTCCGGAGTAACGGGAAAGCTTGGACAGGATGGACAAACTACAGATGGAGGTGGTCAATTTGAGAGCACAACAGAGTGACCACACACCTCGCAGTAGTCAAGGTTTTCCGTGTGCGTGCGAGTGTGGCGGATTTGGCTGCAGGTCCTCTGCTCGTGAGCATCACGTGGAGTGCAATCTTCGTGCACCGCGATACGGATCCAGGAATACCCGGGAGTGCTCCCCACAGGTGCAGGAGGATCGTGGCGCGGCGCCTGATTACCCTGATCGCCGTGAAGAGGACGAGACTCCCCGGAGAGGAGAGGATGTTTCTCCGTGGAGCCAGAGTGGAGACGCGGTGTGAGATTTCTGTCACCTGCTCGGCGTTCACCTTCTTGGCGTTCCCCTTCTTGGCGTTCCCCTTCTCCTTCTCCAATCAGACGGAACCAGGGAAACGACTGGTAACTGGAGGCGAGGCCCGACCGGCAGTTTCGCATTCTCAGGGTTGCGGTGGACATTCCACGGCGGAGATTGAATCTTCCACTATGGACTGCTGTGCTGTGGGTGAGTCCAAGTGTACATCATATATCAGGGGATCCATTGAGGGAGTGGATGTTCCTATACTCATTGACTCTGGTTCTAACGTGTCATTACTCACAGAAGAATTTAAAATGTCAGTCGCTGCTTTGCGTAAACGTGTATTGAGTAATGATTACATCTTTGCTCATGCTGTCAACAGACAATTATTGGACGCACTTGGGACGATGACTGTTCCCATGTATTTGGGGGGAATGTATGTGGAGCAGATGGTGCATACGTTATCCCTTACATATTGACTGCTGTGTCCCACAGAAGGTCATTAAAGAACATTTTAGTCAAAACCCATGGATGAACGCAGAAGTGAAACTGAAACTTCATGAGAGTGCGTTGGCGTTTCAATCAAATGATACAGTTGCTTATAAGTTCTCCTGTTACTCATTGAAACGCTCTATTAAATCTGCTGTCGCTAAGGAACTGTACTGTGCCAAACTGCTTTAAAGAGTCGACTATCATACCAGTTCCTAAGAAAACTCCTGTGTCGTGCCTTAGGCTGAGTTTACACGGAGACAATGTGGCAGTAAAACGGTATAGTTGGATGTCGGTTGATACCAACCGTTCATACAAAGACTGTGTTCCAGGGGGGTGAAAACGTAAGTGTTCAGATCCAGCCTGCAGAGTGGGACAACTCAGAAACGCTGCACAGCGGGGGCTCTCTTTCACACCCGCGAGAGGGGAAAGGTGTGAAATCCCCCTCTGCTCTGACCCCCGCCTCCGCGCTGCTCCCCGCACGTAAATTTGGACATGCGCAGTAGCGGAGAACGAACAAAAACAATAATGGCGCCACGCACACTAACTAGCTACGTGGGCTTCCAGCGCGGGACAGAGGATAATTCTACTCCTTCGTTCGTCCAAACGAGACCACGCGAAGCTCTAGGTTCAGTTCCCATTTTCACAGCTGCTGTTAAAATGCAGAATGATGTTGGTACTCTCTGAGGGTCTGGTACAGGAAGTGAGTATACTGCCGAGAGGGGGGCTGGGCACGGGGCTGGGGGTCGTGTGAGTGTTGTAAAGTTTCTCTGCCCACTACTGGCCGGGCGCTAGAACTACATCGTTTTTCAACCTCATGTGAACGCTGAGAAATTTGCATTAGGAGCCAAGTCGTTTCTGTTAATAGCCTGGAAACGTCTGCGCAGCGTCTCAGTATAAACAGGGCCTTAATGACTATCGTCCTGTGGCCCTCACGTCTATTCTTATGAAAACTTTTGAGCGGCTTGTGCTGGACTTCATTAAGAGCCAGATCCCTGTGAGTGTTGACCCGCTCCAGTTTGCTTACAGACAGAACAGGAGTGTGGAGGATGCCATCTCCTTTGCTCTGAACTCTGTCTACAGTCACTTGGACACTAGTAAATCTGTGGCGAGAATGCTTTTCATCGATTATAGCTCTGCTTTTAACCCTTTAAGGATCACCTAATTTCGCCTGTTCCTTTTCGAATTATGATACCCAAATGGAAGTGCTTATTGTGTGGACATCTTGTGTCTGATGTTGTGTTATGAGGCCTCATTTGAAAGGTAACACCTTCTAGTTTCTGGAAATGTATGTTACAGTTTGTTAGGAGGAACACAGTCTGCACTACAGCTTCTCAAACATGAGTCAAAGTTAGTTTTTTTTGTCTAAAAAAAAAGAAGGCAATTTCAAAAGGTTCTCCTGAAGACATACTTTATGGTATGTTGTTCAAACTCACCAGAGCAGATGTTTGTGGTGTTGGCAACACCTGTATGAAATTTTAGACCTTTAGGCGGAACTATTTTGATGCTGGGGGCTTTTTTGTAACTAATGGGCACATTCGGCACAAGTGGTCCATTTTTGTGCCAACTGTGCCAAAGTGTTTTACATGCAAATTATCAATGTTTTTACACCAAAAATCTAATTATATCATTTTTTGGCTATTACTCTTGCTATAAATAGCATTTTTTCCAGATATTGAAATGTTTGCAGAAAAGCTATTATTTATATAGTTATAGCGCGTGTTCTCCGTGAAAGAGGCTCCGTCTTCCTCTCTTACGCATTCAAATATGACTGGAACTGTGGGAGGAACCTTGAAGTCCGACACATCGCCTGAAACCTGAGATTATTGGCTACAAGATGATTTGATTGACATCCAAATCGGCCAATGGTACTCAAGACAATGCTGTCGTGACGCACAGATATCTATATGACTGGAGCGCTAAAGCTAGGTGCGCTTGTTTTACTCAACTTACTCTACCTTCCAAACCATAGCACTGAAAAGTCCGGGAATGGGCTTGTTTTGAAGGGGAGGCTTAGGGGAAGACGAACATACCCAGTGACGCTAGGTAAATAGTAAATTGTCCTCTTCATACAGTGCGCAAATAACAGGTTTTGTTTTTGTTTGTGCAACTTTCAATACTCAAATATGTTGTTACAAGTGGATATCTACTATAAGGATGACTTTGAAGAAAAAACACCTGGATATAATTATTCTCTAGAGCCTAACGAACAAAATGAATGCACACATGTGTGGATTACACGTGATTTGCCCCAGAATATTAGCATGAAAAGGTAAGAAAGGACAATATATATTTTATATATAAATACAGTTTGACTACTTATTCTTACTTTTGATTATATTTAATGTTTATTTGAACATAATACACGTTTAGAGGTGGGAATAAGCTTTCAAAAGAGATATAGCTTGACTATATTGACACAAGTGAATTCTAATACTGATGCTGTTAAATGAAAAATTACTGAATCCTCCCTGTACAGGGAGGGTGATCCTGCCTTGTCCCAGGTAAAATGATTGAAAAGCTCATGTCTCTCGGTTTAAGTGTTGCCATGTGTAAATGGATTTTTAGCTTTTTAACTGACAGATCTCAGAGAGTGAAAATCAATGACTGTTTTTCTGATGTTGTTTCTGTGAGCACTGGTTCTCCTCAGGGATGTATTTTGAGTCCTTTGCTTTTTACTTTGTACACTCACGATTGTGTGTCCTCCTCTGACTCAAACTTGATCATCAAATATGCTGATGACACCACCATCATCGGTCTCATCAGTGACAATGATGAATCCTCTTATAGAGCAGAGATACAAAATATGGTTCAGTGGAGTAAAACTAACAACCTCCAGTTGAACGCATCGAAAACATGTGAACTGGTCTACGACTTCAGTCGCAATAGTTCTCATTTGCCTGTCGTAATCAAGCCCCGGGGATCCAAGATGGCGCCCTATTCAAATGAATGGTTGTGCTGAGTGGCGCTTTGTGACGGCATGGGGGCTGAAAGATTAGCGGAAGTTGCCTGAAACTCGCAAAGATCTATGAGAAACTCGCCTGTATTTGGGCATCGTCTGGTCCTCCTGGTTCTGTGCAGTGGATGATCTCCCATAATGCGTTGCGCCAAACACGCGTGTGTGGGTCTCACACCGGGTCTCACGCACGTGCACAGAGGGGCTTGGCCGCGCTCTGACCAATCAGCAGTTCATCAGAGCGGGAGCCAGACGAGCAGAGTTTGTGGCACTAAAGTGTGGATTTAAACAAAACGGAAGGATTTAAGAAGAAAAAAAGTTCAGGATGACAAGGGACACTAAAATCCCCACAAAATCCGACCTTTATTAAAGCTGTAGGTTCTCTGTCAGCTGAGGTTGAGCTGTTTTAATATGCATTGAGTTCTATGGGAAAAATTTCTGGGTAGCCCACGTGAATTTCGTCTGGTCTAGTCTGCAGTACCGCGAGAATCCCCGAACACATGAGTTATTCAGCTACAAGCTAGTAATACTCTATCCAGTTAATATAATAGATCCATGGTCGTAATCGACAAGGTGCAGATCGTAGAGGAGTGCAAGTTTCTGGGTTTAACTCTGTCTAACGACCTGAAATGGGTTAACAACACTGACCGAGTCGTTAAAAAAGCTCGTCAGCGTCTCTACTTTCTGCGTAAACTTTGAGAATTTACCACTAACTCTAAGATTCTGCTTAACTTTTATCGCTGCACCATTGAGAGTTTACTTGTTGGTTCTGTGTCTGTGTGGTTTGGAAACATCACAGATAAAGAAAAGAGAGCTTTAAACAAGGTGCTCCGCTCTGCAAAGAGGACCGTGGGCTGTGAGCTTCCTGTTCTGGAGGTTCTTTATGAATCCAGACTTTTAAACAGAGTCCTGAGAATTATTAATGACTCTTCTGGCCACCCTGGAAAAGCCATGTTCCAGCTTCTTCCCTCTGGCAGAAGATATCGCTCTCCGAGATGCAGGACATCTCGTTACGGTAACAGTTTTTATCCACAAGCTGTTATCAGTGTGAACAGAGCACTTTAAAATGATCTTGCACTTGTTTTGACATTGTTTTGGTCGATCGATTTCACAGTGACAATGCCTTAATGTGGGCAGTACAAAATGTTGAGGTTTATTTGGGTGGGTCAGCGCCCCTAGTGGTTTATACGGATCATAACCCTTTAACCTTTTTACAGTCTTTGAGATGTCCAAACCAAAGACATATTAGATGGTGTTTGTTTTTGCAGGCCTACTACCTTGATATTTGCCACAACAAGGGTATTTTGACAGTCAAATTATAACTAATCATGATTAAACGTCAGTCATACACAAACGTATAACTGATGTTTGTACTATAACATTTCCTAATCTTATTTAAGGGTTGAGGTTTAATATAAATTCCACTAGGATTGGTTGAGTCAGTTAGGGCTAGGCTGAAAAATACAGCCTACACTACAGTTTTTTTGTATAAACAAATCACTATCACTACTACTACCAGAGGTGTGGACTCGAGTCATGTGACTTGGACTCGAGTCAGACTCGAGTCATGATTTTGATGACTTTAGACTCGACTTGACCAAATATAAAAAGACTTGCAACTCGACTTGGACTTTAACATCAATGACTCTGACTTTCACTTGGACTTGCGCCAATTGACTTGCAAAGACTTGCGTAACCCGGGCCATTTTTACCTTTCTCCGCATCTCTCTTTCTATCTATGCCGTCTCTGAAGAAACAAAGCCTCGCGGTAGTTGTAGCGCTCGCGCGAGAGTTCAAACGTGAGTTCCCCGCAGTTCGCGCAGCAACACTTCCCTAAACAAGCACACTGCATTCACCGGTGGGTGTGTTGTCTAGGGGAGCTGGAAATGAGCGAGCTGCAGGTATTTATCGCGACCTAACGTCATACTTTGTTCTACAAACCGTAATTGATATGCTTTCACTACAGGCGCCTCATACAATTGAATTGACGCAGTTGTCACACTGTGTGCCGTGTTTTAAAGAGGAACTGGTGAGTCAAACTAGCGCTAGCCTGCGCTGCTCTGTTGGCTCTTTCTTATATTTTTCTGTGTGGGCGCCGAGGCCTATTATTATGAGTATGTTTTTGCTGTGCTCCTCCTGCTAAAGTTTGCATACATTAGATCGTTGTTTTGATTATGTGCACTAAGCTAGATTAATATTTGCACTATTGTTTATGGTGCATTGATATGAGAATCAGTGCTTTGACTGATTGAATTAATTTATATGAGACATTTTATTATGTAATGATATATTGGTAATTATGAGATATTGCTAATGCTGGTCCAGTTGATGGCGAGCTGCCCCAGGTCCAAAGCCTAGACCCCCATACTACCCCTATTCTACAGTAGGACATTTGGAACAATAACCACTACGGACATTAAACTGATTATATAGATACAGGTCCTAGCCCAATACTCATATTCATATATGCTGCACTTGCTACTTCCCATTAAAAACCCCAAAGATAAAAAGTATGTTGACACGGACTGCTCTGATTTTATGTGTGGTCTGTGCATGTGTAACTGAGCCTGCATCTGGCACAACATCCAATTAGATCACGTAGATAGTTTTGATTTATCAGCAGCCAACGACATGGAACAAACTGTTAGTCCATGGGTCAGAGACCAACGAGAATGCACCAGCAAAATGATTCCTAACATTATTTTGTTTGCCTACAAAAGTACGTGGAGACCAACAAGAAACAAATCGCGGTCAAAAAGACTCGAGAGGACTCGAAAGTCAAACCGTAGGACTTGGGACTGACTTGAGATTTGTTGGCCTTTGACTTGGACTCGACTCGGGACTTGCCTGTCTTGACTCGTGACTTGACTCGGGACTTGAGGGCAATGAATTGAGACTGACTTGTGACTTGCTAAACAATGACTTTGTCCCATCTCTGACTACTACTATCAGAATCATTTTTATTGCCACGTAAGTAACAAAAGTCACAATAACCACTGCCTCTACTACAACTACTACTATACTACTACTATACTACTAGTACTACTGCTAAAAATAAACATAATAATGAGAATAATAATGATAATTGTTAGGTTTATTATATTTGCGCAATGTAATAATCCATCTCAGATTGAGTAAAAAAAACAAACTAACAAAAACTCCCTTATTGACCAGCTAGAAAGCTAAACACGTAGTTAACGTTTTAACTTTACAAATTTATTTTGTTTCAATGTCATGACCTTTAAAATTTTCATAAAGTGATTAAAAGACTCAAAAAACAACAAAAAATAACTTCCCTCAATATTTTGGCGGAATTAGTGCAGGACTCAACGTGAAATCAGACAGCGCCCTCTGGTTTTATTTGACAAGTCGCGACTCATGTCTTGTAAGTCACTTGTTAACATTACATGGAGAATACAGACACATACCAGCTGATAAAGCACGTGTAAGGCACTGAAAACATTGAAACATGGAAACCAGAACTGTCACCCAATTCACAAAGCACCAGTCCCTCATGGAACGTCATGCTGGTGGTGGGTCCAAAGGTAGATGACTGCTCCTTCAACGACGATATGGCTGTGTTGTTTCAGTGGGGGCTTCAGGCAAAGTGGGGTTAGGTGCCTTGCCCAGGGACACAACGACAGCAGAGATCAGTGGGAGCAGGTGACATGGGCCGACGGGGATCGAACCCACGACAATTAGGTCCAAAGACCAAAGCTCTGTCAACTGAGCCACTGTCGCCCCTAATAATTCACAGATACCCCTAAAAAGCAAAGAATGGTGATATTTTTAACCGCAAGCCATGACCAGCTGATGAAGAGTGTGCAACATACTGATTACATGTGTAGGGAAACTAATCTTAGGGGTGAATTAATTAGACCTAGTTTTAAGGAAGGAGGATTTACCTCTGAATGATGGACACCAGTCTTTCAGCAGACACAAGAGTCTAATTAAAAATGCGTTTCTTGTTAGAGTCTCACAACCTGGGTGTATGTTCTTAACTGTTCAGGGAATCCTGTATTCTGTCATTAAGAATAACATAGCAGCGACTTCTGTGGTTTATTGATCCAAAGGACAATATTATCAACAGGACATGTATACATAGATAGATAGACCTTTATTGTCCCCTGAGGGAAATTCTTTTTAACAAACACTGTCACATACAGGTCACAATAGACACAAGAGACACAGAAGGAGAGAGAAACATTACAGACTGTTAAGAGCTGCCATAGCTGAAGGGACAAAACTCTTACTAAATCTTGCCCGCTTCCATCTTAATGTTCTGTATCTGTGTCATGAGGGCAGCAGAGTGAAGTGGGTGTGGAGGGGATGGTCTGAGTCTGTTCTAACTGTCCGGGCCATGCGTGTTACTGCTGTGAGGTTGAGATGTGAGAGGTCTGTGGTGGGGAGACTGAGGACTTTGAATGCTGTGTGTGTGACTTTAGTGAGTTTATTTCTGTTGGTGGTGGAGCGCAAGTAACAGGGGGAGCAGTAGAGGAGAATAGGTTGAATGATTGAAGTGTAGCGTTTCAGAAGCAGAAACATGTGTTTTGCAGTGGTTGTTACAAACCAATACCGTGATCTTCGGTGTTATACAGAGTCAGTCAAGCTTTACGCCTCAAACAAACAACAATCAGCTTCTTACTGTGCGTTGAGTTGAAGAAGCACATGGTCTGATCCTTTGTGAAGAAAGTTACGTCCGAATGTCTGAATTAGAGCAAAATGTGGATGATGAAGGATCTCTAGTCTCAATGTGCTCTATTCAAGAACGCGGTACCTGCGTTCAACCTGAAAGAGTTTGGGGGCTTCGAAGACTGAGGTCACACGCAGAAGGGCAGAGGAAAATAGAGGATATGGCCAAGAGAGGACATGAGCGTCTGAGTTGCGGCTGCTTATTTACAGCGTGTCTTGTGTTTGTCTTGAGTTTACAAGACATAGATACAATACAGATAATACAGACATCAGATGTTTCCTGACACATAGATGACAGATGACACAACTGTGACTTCCTGCTCTGGACAGAGCAGTCGCATTCTCTTGCTGCTCCTCGCTTGCTGCTTTTTTATCTCCTTTAATCATTCTTGCTTACATTTTTATTCCACAAAACACGGATTACTCCTTTTTACAAACTTCAACACAAGACTTGTGGAATTTACCTAACTTACAGCATGTCGGGAGGACGGGAAAAAAGAACAAAACTTTGCAACGGCTGTTTTTCACTCAAACAGGAGTTAAAACTTCTTCAAGACCGAATGTTTGTGCTTGAATCAGAATTGGACCAAATGGACAGAACGTAAGTTATGATGACGCTATTTCATTTCCCAAAATCAACAGAGACAATTGTTGGAACACATATGGTGCCAAGCCCAAACAAGGCAAAGCTAATGATAACAAGAGTGTCATAATGCCACAGCAAAAATCTTTAATTACAAGAAACCGCTTTTCACCACTTTTGGAAGATGAATCAGCAGTAGCCTCTCAGTCCCAGTCTCAGTCTCAGTCAAGGTCAAATGCAGCTGAGTCGCTCTTTATCGGGGATTCTGCGATAAGAAATGTAAACATGCGTAATCTCAAGGTTCACTCAGTACACTCTGCCAAAGTGGATGAGATAAGGCGGTTGGCTCCGAGGCTTCTGTCTGAGACCGGCGGGGTAAAAAGATTGTTGATCCACGTGGGGGCAGTAGACGTCTATGACAACACAAGTGAAAAGTTGAAACGGGATTACTCTCTCTTATTGGACGACCTTGCTAAAATGGACGCAACAATCCTTATCAGTGGCCCACTACCAAATGTGGACGGGAAGCAAATGAAATTCAGTCGTCTGTATCAGCTAAATACTTTCCTACTCAACGAATGTTCACGCAGAGGACTTGCCTTCATTGAGAATTTTAATCTGTTCTGGAATAGGCATGAGCTTTTTGAAGGGAAAGGGCCATATCTGAACACTTACGGAGTAAAAGTGTTGATGGATAACCTTTCTTTTGCCCTGAGACCTCAGCCTGCGCAGCGCGTGCAGCCATCGAAAGGGAGGAAGCCAACTCCAAAAGTCTCTGCACCTCCATCACCTCGAAGGATCTCAACACCACCACCACCTCGAAGGATGTCAACACCACCACCACCTCGAAGGATCTCAACATCACCACCACCTCGAAGGATCTCAACACCATCACCGCCTCAAAGGATCTCAACACCTCCACTGTCATCAGAAGCAGCTGCATCATCACCAGCAGCAGCTGCATCATCACCAGCAGCAGCACCAGCTGCACGACCACCACCAACATCCTCATCCCCAGCCTGCTCCAAAGCAGCCACGCCTTCTTCATCTACAGCGCCTCTGAAGCCCCCATCCTCACCCCAGCCTACAGCAGACAGGCCTGTGCTGGGGTTTCCTCAACCACCTGCCCCTCCATCAAAGACTCCCTCGCCACCTCCCATGGACCTGTCTTGGGTCCCCCCTGCCCCGTCCACTCCATCAAGAGAGAATGGGGACACCTCCCTTTGTTTTTCATCCCCGCCTTCACTGTTAGACCTACCTGAACACTCTGCAGGGCTAATAAAATCGGCGATGAAGACTATTCCTCTCACACCCATATTAGCTAGATCTAGAGTCCTGTCCAACATTCTAAACCACTCCCCATATGTACCTCCAAAACCACCTAGGGTTTCCAATTCACCTACAAAAACCACCTCAGCCAGTCCCTCCCCTAACCTCATGACCATTCCACCCCCACTTCCCCCTCGTTCAACACCCAAAACCTCTGCCTCAGCCCACCCCGGCCCTAACCCATCACCAAAAACCCCTCCACCTCCCTGCCCCCCTCGTTCAACACCCAAAAGCCACCCACCTCTCCATCCTCCTCCCCTCCCTTCCCCTTCCCCTCTTTTCTCTAAACACTAGGATGCACAGGGTCTCTGCTTCGCAGCCACTGGCAGTCTAGTTAGAGGAGAGACCCAGCTGGGGCCCTGTCATGAAGCCACCTGTGCCATTCCCTTAGTGATAACACAAAGAATACATTACAGAAAAACATCTGGAGTTAATCAGTCTAATCTGGAAAATCTAATTCTTGTTCCGTGTAAGAATAAGCCGACCGCAACCGCTGATACTGAAACTTTGAAACTTGCTGCGCTTAATGTCAGATCTCTTTGTAACAAGTCTTTTTTAATCAATAATTTTATTTGTTCTCATAATCTTGATCTTATGTTCATGGCTGAAACTTGGCTTGACCAAAATTCAGGAAATGCAGTTTTAATAGAAGCATCACCACCAAATTTCAAGTTTGAATCTGAAATACGGGAAAACAAAAAAGGAGGAGGCTTAGCTGCCATTTTTAGAGACCACTTTGTCTCCCATAGAATGTCTCTTGGGAAGTTTTCGTCATTTGAATATGTGTCTTTTAAAATACAACAAAAATAATCTCCTCCAATACTCTTCATTGTCCTATACAAGCCACCGCAGTCATGTCACAGTTTTATTGATAATTTTACCGAGTTGCTTTCAGTTGTATGCACAGATTTTGATAGTTTGGTTATTACGGGTGATTTTAATATTCATGTGGATAATGTTGATGACAGAAATGCAAATGAGCTGAGTTCTGTACTTGAATCCTTTGATCTCACTCAGCACGTAAGTGGCCCCACCCACAGCAGAGGGCACACTCTAGATCTGTTAGTTACAAAGGGGGTGAATATTTCAAATGTAAACGTGGTCGATGTTGCTCTTTCGGATCATTTCTGTGTTTTTTTTGACATGTGTTTCACTAACAAACCACCAGTGGACTCTGCAACTGTTCGAAGAAGGCGCATAAATGAAAATACGAGTAAACTATTTATGGGAATGATAAACTTTGAGAATGCATCGTATTCTACTCTGTCACCTCTAGTGTTTTGAATGTTCTGGATACCGTTGCCCCTGTGAAGGTTAAAATAGTGAAAAATAAGCAGAAGGCGCCGTAGGCTAAAGCAGACTCGGTCAGGGCACAAAAGAGAAAGTGCCGGAGGGCCGAGCGGAAGTGGCGCAGGTCCAACTTCCAGGTTGATTACGAGATCTTCAAAGATAAGTTGTGCGAGTTTAACCGGGTGCTACGTAGTACGAGAGAAAGGTATTTTTCTGAAATGATTGAAGGCTGCAGCAACAATCTGCGTGTGCTGTTCTCAACAGTTAATAGATTAACAAACCCCCCTGTTCAAATGCCATTAGAGCTTACTTCCAAACGTAAATGCAATGAGTTTGCTAATTTTTTCAATGACAAGGTTCAAGGCATCAAAAACGCCATTGTCTCCAATCCACAGATAACCATCCAACAGCCAGAAAGGCTCTCTGAGCTAACTCACTTTGCACCTGTAAATGATAAAACTGTCCAAGAGATAATCTCCAGTTTGAGCTCCTCCACATGCAGCTTGGATGTACTACCCACTAGATTTCTGAAGTCTGTTCTGAGCAGTCTATTACCTTCACTCACACAGATAGTAAACATGTCCCTTCATTCTGGAATTTTCCCAAAGGCCCTGAAAACTGCAGTCATCAGGCCCCTGCTAAAAAAGAGCAGTCTCGATGCTACGGTACTTAACAACTATCGTCCCATCTCAAATCTGCCATTTATGGGGAAAGTCCTTGAGAAAGTTGTCTACCTACAGCTTACTAGATTTCTTATAATCAACAACTCATTTGATATGTTTCAGTCCGGCTTTAGACCCCACCACAGCACTGAGACTGCTCTCGTTAAGGTTACAAACAATATCCGGCTGAACACTGACGCAGGCAAAGTCTCAATCTTAATCTTGTTAGATCTAAGTGCTGCCTTTGACACTGTCGACCATGAGATCCTCTTACAGAGATTAGAGGACTGGGTTGGAGTCGCTGGCACCGCCCTAAGTTGGTTTAGGTCCTTACCTTGAGGACAGGAAGTACTTTGTGGAGATTGGAAACTGTGTCTCAGATCATATGGCCCTGACCTGTGGAGTACCACAGGGGTCGATCCTGGGACCTCTTCTGTTCAATCTCTACATGCTGCCGTTAGGTCAGTTAATACGCAGAAACGAAGTTTCCTATCATAACTATGCAGACGACACTCAGATCTATGTCTCACTGACTGCAGGAGAACATGGACCAGTGGACTCACTCCTTCACTGTATCCAACAGATCAGTGAGTGGATGCAAAACAACTTCCTTCAGCTAAACGCAGACAAAACTGAAATGATTGTCTTTGGTCCCCAGAAACAAAGAGAGAGCGTCATCTGTCACCTACAGTCTCTCTCCCTAAAACCTTCAAACAAGGTCAGAAATCTAGGGGTAATACTGGACTCAGACTTAAATTTTAATAGCCACATCAAATCAGTAACATCAGCAGCTTTTTACCATCTAAAAAACATTGCCAGGATCAAAAACATAGTGTCTAAAGCAGACTTGGAGATTCTTATCCATGCATTTGTCTCCAGTAGGTTAGACTACTGCAATGGCCTGCTCACAGGTCTGTCCAAACAGGCTGTAAAACAGCTGCAGTACATTCAAAATGCAGCAGCTCGAGTCCTGACTAGAACCAGGAAGTACGACCATATTAGTCCGGTCCTCAGGTCTCTGCACTGGCTTCCTGTGGCTCAGAGAATAGACTTTAAAACAGCTCTGCTTGTGTACAAGTCTCTCCATAGCCTCGCACCAAAATATATTAGTGACATGTTAGTCCCATACGAACCAGCCCGGACTCTGAGGAGCACAGGGACTGGACTCCTGTTAGTGCCCAGAGTCAGAACTAAACATGGGGAGGCTGCTTTTCAGATTCATGCTGCTAAAATCTGGAACAGTCTTCCTGAAGATGTGAGACAGGCCTCCTCTCTGACAATGTTTAAAACCAGGTTAAAGACAGTTCTGTTTAACTGTGCATACAACTGAGGGATTTTATATTTCTATCTTTCTTTTTAATGTTCTGTGATAATTTATGATTTTAATGCTTTGTTTTCTTCAGCACTTTGAATTGCCTTGTGTATGAATTGTGCTATATAAATAAACTTGCCTTGCCTTGCCTAGATTCAGTGACAGACAAACTATATGGTCACCTACAGTAGAGTTATTTGTTTCAACGTCTCTATATATCCCGTCTCCCAGTTTTATGTTGGGTGTGTGTGTCCGTTCAATACAATAGGCTGTACCATGCTGATGGCCGTGATGTGCATTAAAAGTTACCAGTAACAGAGTGGGCATCTGCCAGTCCTTCCATTGCAAAAATCTTATAATCACCAAAATTGTGCACACGTGCTTAGGATGGACTATAAAACAAGAAGAGCGAAATACAGGACCTTTAATATGTATGTTTGTACTACGAGGCACATAGCCCAAAACCAAATTGTAATCCTACGACTAACCTATAAAGTACAAGTACAGATTTTAAAATAAACTTTATTAATCACCAGAATTACAATGTACACATTAAAATGATGACATAGAATCTGTAATTTTTTACTTTTCATATAATTCGTACATTGTTTATTAGGTTTGTTTCTCTTGAAAGCACCGTCTGTTCTTCTGGTTTGTGGTTGGTCCATTGTCAGTAAATGATGTGATCTTCTTTTACAGTACTGTTCCAGGTCACTGTGATTGGCCTGTTACAAATGGGTTGACTCTGATTGGCTGGCTCTGTGCATGGGAATCTCTGATTGGCTAGTGCAGAGGAAATGGAATCTGAGGAAGTGGATTTTTGGTTTGATGTGAAAATCAGCAGGAATCCTCCAGTTCCACATTTTCTGAACCTGTAAAAAATCAACCAATCAGTGAAAACGTCTTTGGAAGCTTTGATGAACAAAGCCTCTAAAGCTGCACACAGACAACAGCCAGTGAGCGATATGGTTAGCATTATTGCTAGGGTTAGGCCACCACCTCTTACAGGTACGCTGTCACAGTGCTTTGAGCAGCGTGTCTGTGTCCTCTTTTAACGAAAGAGAAGCTTGTGTGGAGTGCCAAACATGCTTCCACAGAGCCACAGAGTGTGGCTTTTTTATTCACTTTTCTTGTTGGCTAAATTAGATGTGTGTGGAATTGTATGAACAAAAGCCTAGAATGCCATGTGCACCCCTGGTAAAGGTTGTTGTGCAAGGGTGGGACTCACCTTCAGGACCCTGAGAGTTGTACGGTTCTGTGCCTGGACCTGGGTCTGGACCTGAGAAGGACAAGAACCAGATGCACCGGAACCAGCACTATCAATCTATTTTCTACATGTCAGTATGCGCAGGGTTAGGGTTACAACCCAGGGGCCACAGTTTGCCTCAATACTGTTTTCATTGGTGTTGCTCACATTCATTCAGAGCTTGCAACAAAAGCCATCGACCCCGTCAATCTCCCCACCTTTCTTAACAACATGGTTTGTTTTTGGCCTGTCTTAAGAGTGGGATATCAGTTTCACTTTCTTACCTGGGACAGCAAAAAGTAAAAGTGGAGCTGTAGTCAATAAACAGAGGATTTACTATTGTTCAAAAAATAATCCTAACCCTCTCACCTAGTGATTCCCAAAGTAGGGGTCTTGAATCCCCGGGAGGGGGGCGAGATGATTTCCATAATTTTTTTTTAAAAACACAAATATATAACCCTTAAGTATCTTTGTTGCAATGTATTTGACTCAACAGGATTACTACTTAAAGGCACACCGCGGACTTTGTGACCTAAAGAGTTGACACATATGAGTTATTTTATATGAATACTTGGGCCAATATACAGCGCTTGACACTTGCAATGCTCCGAGCGGGGCTGCCCTCTTGAAATACCGCCCATGTAAGTGTCGAGCAGACGGACCGTCTGCCACCAGGTCACGTGACTTGGAAGAAAGATATGCTTTACGGCTACAGGCGCTGATATACTCATGGAGCTAAGGCTTTTGCTACTCATTTTTCACCTGCTCGACTCCTGGTCATGGCTGAGGCAAGGAAAAATTTTAAACCTTCGGAGGAGGCTAAAAAGAGGAAACGCGAAAGGGATCGTGCTGTAAGCTGCATGTCTGTATGAGCGCTGCTCTTCACCTGGTTCCTGGATGTCATCGACTGCAAAGATGTCATTCCACGCAGCACGAGCTAGACGCAGAACTCCCTCATCCAGGATATAGAAGTCCATGTGTGGTAGATTACTAATGCAGCGGTCTGGAGGCTGACCACAGCAGAGTCTCTCAATATCTGTAGGCATGTCTCTACAGTTTGAACACACACACCAGTGCATGCTGTCTGAATACACACTCAAAAGACACCGGCTGACTGTTTGTTGACTTTTGCGACAGTGCTGAGTTGCTTGTGGCCACTAGGGGCGCTAAACGTGAAAGTTGCAGGTCTAGCGCCCCTAGTGGCCAAGAGTTACACGGTGTGCCTTTAATGAAAATCAAGATACGTAACTTACATTGCACGCAGCAACTAATTGTGTCCTGCTGTTTGCTAAAAGTGTTTGGAGGCTACAAACAAGTTATACCTGCTTTAAAATTAAATAGAGGTTAATGTCCACAACAGAAAAACCTGGAGGCGGAGAAAAGTCACATGTGCCAGAAGTGAGGGAAGGAACATCTGAGAGGGCAGTGAAGAACAGAGAGAGCGAGCCACAAGAAATGCCCTCCACCTCTACGAAAGGGGGAGCCCACCAAGCCCATCACTTGAACCCAGCTTGCTCCAACTCAAGGAAAAACATGCTTTATATTCCACACAACAGGAAGGGTTGTTGAGGTGGGGTGGGGGCGGTCGCGGGGCAGCAGCACATTTTTATCTTGGGGGTCGCGGGTTAAAAACTTAAGGAACCCCTCTACCTCTAACTTAGGGCAATATGCACTACAGGTCTTTAATACAATTCTTGTATCGGTAGAATTCCTAAGTACTGTGCCTGTACCTGCCAGACATGTGCCAGTACTGTACTAACACTAACCCTTCTCTAAACTTGTAGGGAATGCAGGGTAAGCATCCAGGGACCATGAGGCTTGAGACCAGAACTGAAGCAGATGGATTTGTGTCAGAGGGTGCAAAAGGGTGGTGGGTTTTTTAACGTTTGCTTTGTGTTTTTAGCCTTTTATGCATGTTGTGTGTTTTTATTTGGCGGACTTACACCACCCGAAGCACCCAGGCTCCCCACGTGACTGGACGATCAAGACACCTGTGCCTTGGGCATAAAACCGGAGATGGGGAGGGGGAAGAGGAGGAAGGCCAGAGAGCGAGACACAGGAGCCAGACACGACCAGGGGAGAGCCCTGTGGTCTTGCGGCCCAGGCTGTGGAGAAGGATTTTTAGCCTCTGTTTTAACTTTGATCGCATGTTTTTAGCTTTGGTTTTTATTGGTTTTTATTCTTTTTCTTATTTTTTTTATGTATTGTATAATAAATTGGTTTTAATCCAGTGGTCTCCTTATTAAACGTGGGTCCAAAGAACCTGTTTTAGACTTCATACATTTGACCTATGGTGCATGTTTAGGGTTGTTATGGTCAGTATGGTCATTATGTTAATAGGATGGTGGATCCCGATGTGAACCTCAGGAGATTGGGGTGTTTGGGAGTTAGGGGAATTTGGTTAGGGTACATGGGTTAGTGGTTCGTAGAGCAGACACTCACCAGGCTGTGTATTTGTGACGGGCAAATCAGTGACAGCCGCTGTTCCTAAAACAACCACACAAGGTCATGAGGAAAACCCTGGTTTGGGTAATGGTAGCCCAAACCTGAGAACTGACCAGAGTCTGTCGCTGAGTCTGTTGCTGTCTCTGTCACCGCAGTAACAAGGTCTGTCTGTGAAAAGACACCTGAAAACGGAAGACATCAGGGTTACAGACGGAGTAGTGGGTTAGGGCCCATGAGGTAAATCTTGGGTTCAGTCAGTAGGGTTCGAGTCAGGTTCTATTTTCACCTGTTGACATCAGATGAGTAATGTGAGCCACTGATTCTGTGTGAAGCAACACGTGAGACGGTTCTGAATCACAAAGAGACGCATGATGTTACTTTACATAATCTGTTACTGTACATAATCTGTCACAATTGGACCCACACATAAGATCTGGGTTTGACGGTTAGGGTAAGGGGGTTGGGGTTAGGGTAAGGTATGTTTTACCTGTGGCGTCTGGTCCAACTCCAAGTCCTGAGGCTGAAACAGACAGCCCACAGCGATGAAAGTGTTAGAGTTAGTGCTTGTGAAGGCTTTTGGTAACTTCACGGTAATTGTAAATTGTGGTTAGGATTTGGGGTTGTACCTGTGAGCTCAAATGGAAAACTGGTAGCGAGATCCATATTTCCTGAATCAGAACAAGGTCAAGGTCAACACATTGGGAAGTGTCAATGGTTTTGGGATGCTAGTTATGATCTGGATCATACCCTGAAGATCATGTGGCACCAGCAGATCCACGGTCCGGGCTTCAGGGGTTCCATGAGTAACTTAACATTGACAAAACCAAAACTAGTCACTTTGAGAAAAGACCAAATGCAGACCTCCAACTATTTTATAATTAGTATATTATATTATCCAAATATAATTTCACCACTCTGGGAGAGAACAGTCAGTCGACCATTTCCTGGGAATAGAAAATCGGCGTTAAACTTGAAGTGCTACAGGACTTCACAAGGAATAGGGTCTGGGTTAAGGTTCAGGTCAGGGTCAGAGTTTGCCCAACCCTGACAGAGAATAACTGACTCAAGGTTCTAGAAGAGGCATGAGAGATACCCACATTTCCTCGAGTGCCATTAACATATGGGATATGGGGAAGGGTAAATCAGGGTAAGGGTAAGGTGTAAGGTTTTTGTGATAGAACTATGTTATGGTAGGCTTTGTTTTGGAGTATGGTTTGGAAAGGCTTAAGCCAGAACTAACCGTTGTAGTCAGGAGAGTCCGGTGAATCTGCAGCAATCAGTGGTTTGAGAACTGAGTAAGTTTAAAATAACCTATAATCCAAAAAACAACAATTTCAACAATTTCACCTGGGAAGGCAGGGTCCACCACAGAGGACACATGTGATTGTCCAAGAGCAGGAGGAGAGGCATGGCCAGTTGCTGTATAAACACAGTGTTAGATTAATGCTGCATTCATTTCATCTCAGAAACTCAAAGTCTGACTTCTATTGTGTTCCTCAGAAAATAAATTCTTCTCACAAACTCATGCGGGTTAACATAATCCTGATATTATGAGTTCCCATCACTGGTTTAGGTTGAAGGTGAGACAGACGTTAGATTTAAATTGGAGGAAAGATAATAGAACTTTTTTTGTCCATCATTTATGTTTCAGAAAAAAACAGTCTGGGAGATTCCAGCACTGTTTAGTAACAAGTTGGAATTATTAAACATTTTGCTCTACAATGTATGATTTATTATGAATGAAAATACATTAATACTCCTTTAGAGCATCTCAATTATAATATGATGCAGACAACATGGAGATAGGGTTTGACCTAACTGGGGTTAGGGTTCGTCTCACCTGGGGTTAGGGTTTGTCTCACCTGGGGTTAGGGTTCCCCTCACCTGGGGTTAGAGTTCATCTCACCTGGGTCCAGAGCTGCAGCAGGATCAGGTGCCAAAGTCAAAGCTGAAGACATGACTGGAACTAGAATAAATACAGGTATGGTTATTTACGACCAATAAGGACTCCAAGCAGTGGCGGCTGGTGGAATTTTCTACTGGGGGGGCTATGAATATGATGACTAGATATATACCAGCAGTAAGTAAGTTTACACTGACTGTTGTGACTGAAGCCTCACACGAGAATTTTTGATAGGATGTGCCTATTCTTGTCAACCTCCTCATTGTGCTTTCTGATCCCTACCCTGTAGCTTTCATCCAGCTGGGATGAAATATTTATCTTCCCAAACATAGCTAATTTGAGGGCATTTTGCATGTGGATACCAGTCTGCTCATGCTTCTTTGCCTTTTCTAAAAAGTGCTTCAGATCAGTCATACCTGTCTTGATCCATGCTGGGTCAGATCCTGATGTTTGAAACAAGAGGCATGGAAAACAAAATAAAGCATTAGCCTCGCTACATGCTGCTAGCCAAGATTTGGCGCTGAACCAGGTCCTGGAAAAAGTACGAGTGTACCGTCTCCCCCTGTCGCTGGACTGCTGACTAATGGTAATATTTGGCTGATCAGGTCCAAGCTCTTTAACCTCGCCCTTCTCCTGGTATGATCTTCTCTCAAACGGTATTGTTTTGAGTGATCTAACTGAATTATTCTTTTTCTCGTTCTCCATTTTGCGTCTCTTTACGTTCGTCTCAAACTCCCACAGCTTGACCTGTCAATCACTGTAAACGGACGTCACAGACAGTGACAGTACAGGTCGCGGGCGATCCCGCCCCCTCAGGGCGCACTTCTCCTGCGCCCCCAAATCGTCTTATCTCTTGCATTGAAGAGGAGCTACTGCGCATGTACAACTTTTAACGAGAGTCCATAGACGGCTCAGGGCGCAATCTTTTGCGCCCTGAGGCGGAAATACGTCCTCAGTCCGACACAGACAACGCTGATGAGCTTAATCAATCTAACTCAGCATAAACTATAAAGTATTTCTTCCACATCTGAAATAAAACACACATAAATTTCGAAATATTTTAATGTTATTATTTTTTTTAACGTTTTATTCAAGGTAACATGGCAAGTTGTGAGTGGTGGGGCGGCGCCCTAGCGCCCTCTATTGGCCGGCCGCCACTGACTCCAAGATGTGAGAGTAAAGACCCTAACCCTTTATAAGGGTATTGATGAATCATATACGCTAACCCTGACCCATTGTGAATACAGCAACAGGGGAAGAGCTCTCTGTTTTTTGTAAAAGTATCTTGGTTTGATGGGCACCACTGGGTTGGGCTTCCAACATCATACTTAAAGTACTCGACCCAAAACCCATAATTTCATAACTGTATCAAACCCCTTAACCCCTAAAATTTGGGTTAGGAACGTGTACCTGATTGGAAGATGGGGAGTTTTGTGCTGAGCTCAGGTCCAAACGGGTCAGAACCTCCTGAAACAGAACATTTTATTCTCTGTGATTGTAGACTTGGGAATCACTTGATAATCACTTTTGCACACCTCGATAAATATATCCTATCGTCTTGTATAACCATGATGAACTGTGTACTAACCCAGCAGGCTCAACAGGAAGTCGTGGGAGGCGGGATCTGGGCCAGGGTTTTGGCCAGGATCTGGACCATGGTCTGGACTGTGTTCTGGGCCTAGGCCAGGTTCTGGGCTCGGGTCTGGACCTGTGATTGGCCCAATATCAGCTGGTGCTCCATTCATCAACTTGTGCCCATTTCCTGATATAAAAAACACATGTTGGCATCTTTATATTGATATATCATTCTATGCTAATGCTAACCCAGGATAGAGTTAGGGTCACAGACTAAAGGGTTAACTCCTAACAACTGGGTTAGGGTTAGAATTAGGGTCAAACCCGTAGCTTCTTTTACCATTAAAGTCAGAATCTGCCCCATCTATCCCTGAAACATTCAAATGTAAGTTTCACATTATCAAACATAAAATAAAACCATTGATTTAAGTGCACCAATAAGTTCTTACCACTGGGGTCGGGGGCAGGGCCTATGGCTTCTGCAAATACATGTGATTGTGTTATTCAAAAGATTAGGAGGTTAAGACACAAAAAACAGAAATAATTACCTGAGGAAGGGACCAGTTCTGAAACAGAGAGTGACCCAACAACACCTCCACCTGGACCTGATACAGATGGACCTCCAGATGGACCTCCAGATGTCCCAGCGGACCCAGGACCTCCAAGAGAACCAGGACCTCCAACAAACCCAGGACCATCAGAACCCACCTCTGAGTTAGTTTTAACAGGATTCACCCCTGTTGAAGCTCCGACTGCTGATCCAACAGAACCTGCAGAGGAACCAGCAGAGGACCCAGTAGAGGAACCAGTAGAGGAATCAGCAGAAGAACCAGCAGAGGAACCAGCAGAGGAACCAGTAGATGAACCAGCAGAGGAACCAGCAGAGGAACCAGCTGAGGAACCAGCTGAGGAACCGGCAGAGGAACCAGCGGAGGACCCAACAGAGGAGCCAGCAGGATCTGAGGAGGTGGGTTAGCGTTACTTCAGCGTTAGTGAGTGTAATGTTGTTGTGAGCTGCACCTCCAGTCAGACAATAAAGGCAGTATCTTTATCCATGTCATTTTTTATTGTTGTGATTTGATACTCCGAGTGAGGGGTCTCTGGGTGAGGGGGCTCAAATTTAAGGAAAGGAACAGGAGGCTCTTGGAATGACGTCGTTGTTTATACTTTTCCCGCGCCGGTCACGTGACCGGGTGGCAAAACAGCATAGAAAGCTTCTTAGATGCTAGAGAGTTAGCTATTTTTAGACGTTTGGAGAGAGGTTTTACTAAATCATATAGTCCATTCTTGTTTTGTGGTCGGTTGTACGGCGAAAAACGGCTGTTGTAAAGTGGTTGCCATTTTATGCTGTTATCTACGGTAAACGTAGATCGGGAAGCCAGGGGGATGAGGGGATAAAAATTCCTGAACAAATTTAAGTTTTGCAACTCCTGCATTTTGGTTGCTCATCCCCGTGGCTTCCTGTTCCACGTTTCATCCCAGGTCTCATATGGGCTTTGAATTTGTTCAGTTTGGTCTCATAAACTTATTTTTAGCTTGTCTTTATACCTCCTCTGATCTTCTTGCGTTAAAGTGCTTATATACAGAGCTATTCGCCCACTGAGTCTTTTAAAAGTACTCTCTTTTTGCCACCCAGCGAGGGGCGCATAAGCACGCGGGTGTAAACAAAGATCCGCCTATAAAAGGGTTAAAGTCTCACCTGAGCCTCTAGAGGGCACTGCAGTGGATGGTTGGCCAATCAGGATCCCTGAGAAAAAAGGAACAGAGTCACTCATTAACCGTTCACAAAAAGTGAACACACTGATTGTGCTATAGCACAATCAGTGTGTTCACTTTTTGTGAACGGTTAATCTAGATCATAGGTGTCAAAGTCAAGGCCCGGGGGCCAGATCCGGCCCGCCAGACAATTTCCAGTGGCCCCTGAGATGATTTAAAATTATTAAATTAAATAGCAGCATTGATGGTTGTGAATGGCATGTTATCCATTACTAACAACCATAAAACTTAATTCCATAAGAAATGTTAAGCTAAAATGTTATTAGAAGTTAGCATTGTTATGTTTTTTATGAGTCTTCAATTACATTTCTTCTTAAAGATATGAAGGAGGATTTCCCAATTTTCTTAGGAAAGAACCGTCCTCTCCACGTTTTGAACAAAACTGTCTGGTCTTATTTGATGAGCACGAATCACCAGAATGATTGACAGTTGGGAGGACCAATAGTCTTGATGATCCACCCGGAAGTAGAAAATCTTCCCATATACCTTAGATATTTGGTCCAGTTTTGGTTCAGTCCACAGGAACTGAACTAATTCTAATCAGAAAAGAATATCCAATCTAACAAATGTGAAGTCATTTACATAGATACCTTCATATTATAAAAAAGTATAATAAATGAAACCCACTTATTCTTTCGGCCCCTGACCAGCCCTTTCATTTTTTATTCGGCCCTCAACCAAAATAAGTTTGACACCCCTGATCTAGATCAAAGATCACATGTAACATACAGTGCATGAATGGGAAATCCAGATTACATGACCAGTGTGTGAGCAATTAATCTAGATTAAAGATCACATGTTACAGCATGTAAACAGTAAATCCAGATTAAAGATAACTTGTTACAGCATGTGAAAAGTTAATCCTTATTGTAGATCACATGTCCACTGTCTGTGGTTAATCCAGAATATATAGTTTTATGAAGTGTCAGGACACTGGCAATCAGTGCATGAGATACACTATGGCTTCTGTTTCCTCAGGAGTAAAGCCAAAACCATAGTTAAATGGAGAGGTTGTTTGATCAGTAAGAAGAGAACAGCTGCATCTGGGTGAAGGTAGAATACAACACATGTATCACAGTGTTTTCTTTCATTGTGGCGCACAGGGTCAAACCTTCCAGAAACATGACATGTACAACAGCAGGGTTACTGAAACCCGAGGTCAGGGTTAGGGTGAGTTAGGGTTAGTTTAAACCTGGGTTAAGGTTAGAGTTAGTTTAACCCCACTATAATTTTATCAGTAACTAATTTACTGTTACTGACATTTTTCAACAACAGAAACATCTATTCTCATGTATTTAATCATCTGTTTATGTTTATTATTAGTTCAGGATTATTCAGGATTAGGAGTCTTTTCAATGCAAATAAATGTATTCCCTGGTTTAAAAATGTTTTATCAGAGGTTTATGTAGTTTTAGTCTCACCCTGAGTTTGGTCCTTGGACTGATCATCATCTGAAACAAGACCAGACATTAGACCTCCCTCTCCCCAGACACTTCCTCCTCACAGACAGAAGGCCACAGGTTGCAGAGTTTTGATAATAATCTGATCCATTCTGACTACAGCTTCTCCAGAAGAACCATCAGATCTCACATGTTGCCGTGGTGATAGTTCAGAGGATTTTCTTCAGAAGCATGAAACATCATGTAAGCTCATTGATACATTTGTTTGACGAGAAGAAAACAAAAACAAGATGAACTAACCAGTTGGTGTTATTGTTAAGGGTCATGTGGGATTAAGAGTTAAAGGTAGGAAGGTCGGGTTATGTGGGATTAGGGGTAGGTTTATGTGGATTTAAACCGTACCCTCCTCTTCCTCGGAAAGTTCTCCTTCTGCTTCCTCTCCGCCTTCGATCTCCACTTCATCGTTTTCTTTCTCCACTGAAAAATAAGAAACATCCTAGCAAAACTAACTGACCCAGACAAAATCAGGATCCAACCCCTGTTTATGTCGATAAATACCAAAAAGCCATTTATTCCGTGTATGTAGGGTTTAGGTGTGAGGTTTGACCAATCCAGTCTTGCAGCTTGGGTTAGGGGTACGGGTGGAGTTTAAAATTAGGGAAAATAGTTACGATGGTGAAACCCATAAATAACTCAAGTAAGAAGTAGTGAGTCAGCAGGACCAGCAGAGGTCACCATGATACAGTCTGAGAGTTGGAGAGGTTTATGATCTGTAGTTCATTCTTAAAGTTGACTTTGTTTACAGATGATTTCCTTATGTTTATCGTTTCATATGTTTGTATTTATTCTGTAGGTTTACCTTCAAGAGGCGCTGCTGCAGACACTCGACTGAAAACAGCTAAGGCCACAGACAGCAGCAGCAGGTTTCTGTTGATCACAAAATTCATAATAATATGCATCAGTGTGCTGTGATGCAGATCAACATAAGATGCCGACTCTCTCTGTGGAACATGTAATTATACTGCTGTACAATAATAATACAATGTACGTATACATTCATTTACTCTGATCATTTCTTAGACACAGTCAGAGGTGAGCCAGATCCTGACCCTGTGTGTTGTTTGTCGTAATATAATATTTCTCAAGTTTGCAAATCCACAGCAGAAGTATTAGTATTAGTACTAGTAGTTGTAGCAGCAGTAGAAGTAGTACACATCATTTAAGCAGCAGTAGCAGCAGGAGTAATAGTAATAGTAGTAGTAGTAGTAGCAGCAGCAGCAGCACAAGTACTTGTAGTCGTAGTAATAATAGTAATAGTATTAGAAGCAGCATTAGTAGTAGTATGTTTTAGTGAGTATTTGTACTCCCAGAGGCAACATGATGCAGTAGTAATAGTAGTTGTAGTAGCAGTTGTAGTAGTAGTAGTAGTTGTGTTTGTACTCACAGATGCAGCATGACGCAGTTAGTAGTTGCAGAAATAGTACAAGCAGTAGTGGTTGTAGTAAAAGTACTAATAGTACTTGCAGTAGTGGCAGTACTATAGTATTATGTGATTCCAATTCTGACAAATACTCGGCTCCGCCTTCATTTCATCTGTTATACTTCCCACCAGCCAATCAGAACAAAGGAATCTATCAGCAGCCACTCAGAAGACAGCACAGCAGCAGCTACCTGCTCTTGAGGAACTATTATTATTATTTCACTTGATTTAAAGTTCTTGTTAGACCCTAAAAAATATATGTTCTTGTGAAGTATTTAGACCTCACCCTGACATCAATCACTATAGGCCAGTATCCAATTCTAGAAAAAAATATTAAAAATATTGTTTTCATTTACAATACATATTTGATGTTTTATCAATCAGGGTTCAGATCAGTTGTAAAGTAGGCACATCAGTCAGGGTTGGGGTTGGGATTAGGTGTAAGGTGGGGCTTTTCTGCATTTGTGTGGCGTGAATGCATGTTACACTAAACTCTAAGGCGATTTGTGTAACTATGGCCAGTGAAATACGCTATAAACATATAAATGACTTACTCACTTACTCATGAGTAAACTACAGAATCTTGTTTTTGAGTTGAGTTGAGATCTGTACAGAAAGGTCAGAGCGGCCAGTGCTGCTGACAGAGGGCCCACTGAAGGGTCAAATGCACACACACAGAGAGATGCATCAGCCACTTTCTTTTAACTTCGAGGAACCCGCCTGAGATTAGGCTTGTTCCAGAGTTGTCTGCTTCAGGTTAGATTTGGTTAAAGTGCTCTATTGACCAGGCTGGCACAACTTTGTGCCTCCTCTCAATTCCACGTCACTCGAGCGATGAGGGCAGATGGCTCTGAGAATCTGTAGTTCAGCAGGAAACAATGGTGCAAACAAATGTAGCCATACATCTATATAATGGAATATTACTCAGACGTAAGACATGAGCAAACAGCAGCAATTGGTGGGTTATGGTTAGGGCCAGGGTTATGGTTAGGGCCAGGGTTAGGGTTAGGGCCAGGGTTATGGTTAGGGCCAGGGTTAGGCTTAGGGCCAGGATTAGGGTTAGGTTTAATGCCAGCCCAGTCCTAACCTTGAATAATAAAGCACACCTTAATAATCAGCTATTTTGTGGAAGACCACTGTAACAATAGACACCACTGTGTGGCGCTGTGTGCAGAACTAACCTAGGTCATTAGGTAACACACTGTTTATACCGGGTTTAGACATGGTTAGAGCTGGTTTAATCCTAGTTCAGTCCTAGTTGTACCTGGATCAGACCTGGTTTAGTCATAGTTTAATCATGGTTTAGACCTGGTTTAGTCATGGTCTAGACCTCGTTTAGACGTGGTTCAATCCTGGTTTAGTCCTGGTTTAGTCCTTCTTCAGACCTGCTTCAGTCCTAATTTACTTGGATCTATTTAAACTCGGTTTAGTCCTGGTGTATTCTCGGTTCAGAGCTGGTTTAGTCCAGGTGCAGACCTGGTTTACTTCTGGTTCAGACTTTAAACTTGGTTTAGACATCTTTTGGGTCCTGTTTCAGACCTGGCTTCAGTTTCTGCTAATAAAGACGACTAGTGTGATTCAGACAGAGGCCTATTATCCCCCCTCCCCCCAGGCTCGGTCCAAGTCCAGACCGATCCACTCCGGATCTGATCGCTTTACGCAGCATCACTTAAATCCTGATCCAGTTTCACCTGGACTCTTCTGAAGCGGTACAAACACATCTCACAAAACCAGGTCTAAATCAGGTCTGAATCAGGTCTGAATCAGGTCTGAACCAGGTCTAATCAGGCTCTAATGCAGGTCTAAGCCAGGTCTGAATTAGGTCTAAACCAAGTCTAAACCAGGTCTGGATCAGGACTATCCCAAGACTAATGGATCAATGTGGAAGGACCATCAGCAGTATAAGTTTCATTCACTCAGTAATAAACTGCTTCTACAGTATAGCCACAACTGCCCTGGGGCTGACCAACGGAGGCAAGGCAACCAGTTTGTGCCATCAGCCCTTTCATCAATGTGGCTGGCAGTGTTGGTGTTCCCAGAGGTCTCCCATCACAGTAATGACCAAGACCTGCCCTGTTTAGCTTCTGATATCTGACTGGATAAGGCATTTAGGATGGGTACATTCATCCCACAGTGGGGAAATGTCAGTGTTGCATCAACAGTTACAGAACAGTATGAATGAGGAGTACAAAACACAAGATAAATCAACAATAACTCTACACTAAAATGAAATTATAAAGAATAAAGTTTTAGTTTACCGCTGTAGTTTAAGAGACAGCGGATACATGTGGTTCTATATTTTGCATTCTGACATTAATAATATTAATAATAATGCATTGGTTTTTTGGACACTCAAAAACACTTTACATGTCATTATTCATTCTCTCCAAACACGGTGGTGATAAACTACTGCTGTAGCCACAGCTGCCCTGGGGCACACTGACAGAAGCAAGGAAACTAGTATGTGCTATTGGCCCCTCCGACCACCACCAACCATTCACACACACACCAGATTCATTCTAGGCAATGGGAGTAAAGTGCCTTGCCTAAGGATACAACGGCAGCTTGGCACTTTACAGCCGCAGCCGCCCCACTGTGGCTGGTGTTCTCGGAGGTTAAGTGTCTTGTCAAGAACACAACAACACAGACATCAGTGGGGGTCGGTGGAGAAAGTCTTGGGGTGGGCTCGAACCCGCAACCCTCTGGCTCAAAGGCCAATGCTCCACCAGCTGAGCCACTGTCACCCTAAATGAACAATAACTTATGTACCCCTGTCCAGAGACTGCAGATGAAAAACAGCCTACTTGGCTATTTCTGGTGGGGGCGACAGTAGCTCAGTTGGTAGAGTTGGTAGTTGCTGGCCTTTGAGCCTGAAGGTTGTGGGTTCAAGCCAACCACAAGACCTACTCCCACTGATGTTTTCCGTTGCTGTGTCCTTGGGCAAGACACTTAACCCCACTTTGCCTGAAGCCCTAATTCTGGTACATTCATGCACAATGTCCTTGTCAACTAAACAATTAAAAAAATATTATATAGATATAGATATAGATATCTATATCTATCTATATAGATAGATATATTATATATTATATATCTATATAGATAGATATATTGTATAGATTGCAATAGGTTGTCAGTGTTCAATAGTCCTCATTGTTTGTTGTACAGTCTGACAGCCACAGGAAGACCTGCAGAACCTCTCCTTCACACAGTAAGGGTGGATCAGTCCTAAAACTGCTCTCTAGAGCAGACAGAGTGTCCTACAGCGGGTGACAGTTAGTTTGTCCAGAACCCTCCTGTCCCCCACCTGCTGCACTGTGTCCAGGGAACAGCCCAGGACAGAGCTGGACTTCCTGAGGACCTGTTCCAGCTTCTTCCAGTCCCTCTTTGTGATGCTGCTGCTCCAGCAGACCACACCATACAAGAGGCTGATGCCACCACAGAGTCATAGGGACAAAATTGTATATCACAACCTCATGGCTTAGTACTAATAGTATTAGTACTGGTGGTGGTGGTGATCAAAGCAGTCGCAGCAGTAGCAGCAGTAGCAGCAATAGCAGCAGTTGTGTATGACTAGTATCTGGGTGTCTTCTCCTGTGAACCGGGGCAGAGCTGAAACTGGACTCGGGGCCTGGCTCCGGAGCAGAGTCTCCTCAGGATCCTGTCAAACACTTGGACGGTTTGTTCTGGGATGAAACAGAGAACGGTGGGATTCAGTTTGAGCTTTATGAGAGAGAAAGAACATATTCACCATCCATACCAAACCCCTGACCCTCATCCGCCTAGTCCACTGCAAATATATGAGAATGTCTGCGTGTGTGTGTGTGTGTGTGTGTGTGTGTGTGTGTGTGTGTGTGTGTGTGTGTGTGTGTGTGTGTGTGTGCGTGTGTGTGTGTGTGTGTGTGTGTGCGTGTGTGTGTGTATGAGAGAAAGGAAATATTCACAATCCATACCAAACCCCTGACCCTCATCTGCCCAGTCCACTGCAAATATTTATATGTGTGTGTGTGTGTGTGTGTGTGTGTGGCTCTCCAGTTTCTCGGGACATTCCATTTCATAGACAAGGTTAAATTGTTTTGGTTCCTGTTTCGGCCCAGACCAACCCCAGACCGACCAGAAATTTAGAGACCAAAGACCTACTTGTGGCCATACTTGTGGTTATGTTCCTAGGCAAGACACTTTACCCACATGTCCTAGAATGAGTCTGGTGTGTGTGTAGGTTGATGGTGGTCGGAGTGGCCAATGCACAGACTGGTCGCCTCACTTCTGTCAGTGTGCCCCAGGGCAGCTGTGGCTAAAGTAGACATTTATCACCACGGTGTATAGAGTGAATGTATAATGTGAAGTGAAGTGTCTTCTTTCTTTCTTCTTCTACAAAGACTAGTTAGTTCAATTTTGATTTTACAGTATTATTTGTTAAATGAAAACTCATTTTGAAGAAAGGCTTGGGGGCTTAGGGTCAGGGCCAAGGTCTGGGACCGAGTCTTTGGACCAGGTCTACTAGGGCAGTCTTCATGTGAGCATCAGCCTTTTAGCCCGTGTTCAAAATGTGTTTTGTTTTATCAGTCAAAATTCAAAGTTGAAAACATTTGAACATATTTTGTTCTATATTCTTGACAGAAATTGAAAAGTACATGGACCGATGTGCCTCCAGACTCCAGTCATACCACAGTCTGACCTTCAGGTGGCAGTGTTTAACCCTGTCATTTCACAGTCTGACCTCCAGGGGCAACTTGGTGCGCCTTTTATTGGCTTTGTCAGCAAGTCACTAACCAGGAAATTGCTTTTGCTCAAGGTGCAAACAATATATAAAAGGACAAAATATAATGCATGCATAAAAAACATGTTCTTAAATTGAGCGAGATGATGGAGGAGGTGAGGGTCATACCTCACGATGGCACAAATCTGTTGTCACCATAATAATAATAATAATGCAACGTCATCTTTCTGTGGCGTCAGCCTTCTGTGATGTCATCAGTCTGTGATGTCATCAGTCTGTGATGTCATCAGTCTGTGATGTCATCTTTCTGTGATGTCATCAGTCTGCGACGTCATCCTTCTGTCATGTCATCAGTCTGTGGCGTCATCCTTCTGTGATGTCATCAGTCTATGGCGTCCTCCTTCTGTGATGTCATCAGTCTGTGGCGTCCTCCTTCTGTGATGTCATCAGTCTGTGATGTCATCCTTTTGTGATGTCATTGTGTGAGCCTAGTTAACCATTTTGGCACCACTGTTTTGTAAACAAGATGTGAAACAGTCAAAAGTCTTGGCCCTTTTGAAGAAAATAGCAAAATTAAAATGCAGGAGAATGTGTGAAGAGCCAGGTCTCTGTATAGAGTGTGTCCGGGACTCAGGAGCGCCACCTACAGGCGTTTGTAATCCTTTACAGGAGAAGTGAGTGTTCTGTTTGACAAACAGAGAAAGTGACACAGTTCCTTTAAACTTTATTTTAATTTAACACAAACGGCTTCATTCAAACCACACCAGTGAGATGCACTTGATATTTATTTATGTTTTCATATAGAAACTAAAACATGTACAGCAAACACCCACAGACCAATCAGAAAGCAGCTGAATGATGAGCCAGCAAATCACCACTCAGCGCCCGACACACTGGCCAATAGAACACCCTGAAAAAACAGGAATCACTTTATTGAATTGTGTGTGTGTGCGTGCGTGCCTGTGTGGTGTGTGTGTGTGATATAAGCATATTCTCCAGTACTGCTGTTGGGTGGCTGCTTAAATGTAAGTTTATTTTATACTTCTAATCCCAAGGCTGGTTTGATCAGAATCAGAATAATCTCATCCATCCATCCACAACACTGGTTAGTGCACGTTCCAAACCAAAAGTTTCCGAAGTTTTGAAGTCTAGATGTTTATACATGAACTCTAAAAACAAAAATAATCCTTAATTCTCTACTAATGAATGTTAAAGCGGTCAATACTAAACGTAAGATAGACTCTTTTAAAGTCTGGATTATTCGTTTTGTTTTTTATTGTATAATTTCATCATTTAATACAGTTTAGATTTTTGCTTCAGTGAAATTATGTTTATATCAGTACAATTACTTTAATAGTAATAATATATGTTGTCTGTCCCTGTGTACATCTGTCTGTCCACCTGTCTGTCTTACTTACCTTGACCTTGGTGTTGTTTACCCCATAGAGCCGCTGTTTCTACGCCATCCCTGAAAGAAAATAACAGAATGAGGGAGGAGTGAGGCGTAAACACAGTTCAGGGGTTAGGAGGGTTCAGGGAGAAATAAATAGTTACCGTGAGTGACACTGGTCAAGTCGATCAATCCCGTTGTGGCTTAAACAGAGAAAAAACATGTTTAGTCTTGCTAAAGGCCAGCTTTAGTCCAGTCATAGTCCTGCTTTAGTACTCCTTTAGTACCCCTTTAGTTCTGCTTCAGTCCTGCTTTAGACCTGCTTCAGTCCTGCTTTAGTGCTGCTTTAGACCTGCTTCAGTCCTGCTTTAGACCTGCTTCAGTCCTGCTTCAGTCCTGCTTCAGTCCTGCTTCAGTCCTGCTTTAGTCCTGATTTAGTCCTGCTTTGGACCTGCTTTAGGCGTGCTTCTGTCATGGATCAGTCTGTTTACCTTCTGTAGACTCGGTATGATCGTCTGAATCTTTTGACTCGTCTGTTTCGTCCGTTTCATTAGTTTCGTTATTTTCTTCTTGGTCTATTGCTGATTCAATTGCTTGAGGCTCTTCAGAATCATCAGAATCATGGGAATCATCTGAAACATCTAAAACATCTGAATCATCTGAATCATCTGAGTCATCCAAAGCAAGTGAAACATCTGGCTTTTTCAACTCTTGTGAATTGTCAGTTTCTTCAACTCCCACAGTTTCTTCTAAATCATCAATTTCTTTGGTTCCTTCAGTTTCTTCGGAATCTTCCATTTCTTCAGTTTCTTCAGTTTCTTCAGTTTCTTCTGGACTGTCACCATCTAGTTGTTCTGATGACACATTATCCTCCTCTTCTGATGAATGCTCATCGCTGCCTCCCTCCTCTTTGTCCTCTTCCTGATCCTCATCACTGGTGTCCCTATCTGAGAAATCTTCTTTCTTGTCCCCATTTTCTTCCTCTTCTGAGGAATCATCTTCCGTAGTGTCTTCCCCTGTCGCCTCCTGAGGAGAGAATCAGACAAACCTTTTTTTAATGGTTAAAAAAATAAACGTTGAAATTTCCTTTCAGAGAACTCACATCATCTGACGTCTCCTCGTCCTCCTCTGCAGTATTGTCCTCCTCTTTGGAATCAACCTCCTCTTTGGAATCAACCTCTTCTTCAGTATCATCCTCCTCTTCATTATCATTCTCCTCTTCAGTATCATCCTCCTCTTCAGTATCATCCTCCTCTTCAGTATCATCCGCCTCTTCAGTATCATCTTCGGTATCTACCAAGTCCTCTGTATCCTTCAGGTCTACAGTCTCGCCTGCTGAATTTCCATTTACTTCCTTTGACTCGCCAACATCCCCAACCTCTGCATCTTCCTCTGAAACAAATTTAAGGCAAGGCAGCACAGTTCATACACGAGGCAACTCAAAGTGTTTTGACAAAACAAGAAAATAAACATCAAAAAGGAAGCGACAGGGGAAGATACTACGGAAGATGATTCCTCAGAAGAGGAAGAAAATGGTGACAAGAAAGAAGATAGGGACAGCAGTGATGAGGATCAGGAAGAGTAAGTAAGTAAGTAAGTAATGTTTATTTATATACCGCCTTTCACAGACAAGGGTCACAAAGCGGTTTACAATTGTTATTATTATTTTTTTGGGCACTTGTCCTCTCACTCCAGACAGAGATGGGAGCGGGGTCGCCGAACAGAAGGCGCATGCCAGACCTATTGTACATATTTTTAGTGGTAGGGGAAACCGGAGTACCCGGAGGAAACCTACACAGACACGGGGAGAACATGCAAACTCCACTCAGAAAGGCCCTGGTCCGGCCGGGATTTGAACCCAGGACCTTCTTGCTGAGAGGCGAGAGTGCTATCCACTCAGCCACCGTGCCGCCCGAAGAGGAAGAGGACAAAGAGGAGGGAGGCAGCGATGAGCATTCATCAGAAGAGGAAGATAATGTGACATCGGAACAACTAGATGGTGACAGTCCAGAAGAAACTGAGAAAATGTTTTCAACCTGAGCCTCAGGCTGAGGTTGGTACCACAGCTCTCGAAGACTTCCTGTGTGGTACCAGTGCCCAAGACACCACGGGCCAAAGCCCTCAGCAACATTTGAGCTGGAGACAGCTGGAATGCCCTGGACTACCTCAGACAGCATGTCTGACTGCAGGTCCTAACCAGGTCCTGACCTGAAGTGTGAGGGCTCCCCCAGGCAACCGTCTTCGCTTCGTTCCTCTTTATCCTCAGAAACGACAGCACAGTGTGCCGAGGACACAGTTCTTTGTGCCACCTCATCAATGAAGAGAAGACAAAAGAGATGAACCACCTCCTCATCAACGGGGGGAAGACCAAGGAGATGGTGGTGCACTTCCGCAGACGTAACTCTGCCACCAGCTTCCAGGGAAGGGATATTGAGAAAGTGGACACTTACAAGTACCTGGGTGTTAGCCTGAATCCTAACCTGGAATCATAATACAGCAGCCCTCTTCAAGGGCCAGAGCCGACTCTACCTGCTGAGGAGGCTCTACCTGCTGAGGAGACTCTACTTGAGGCAGATCAACCTGCTGAGGCGGCTCTACCTGCAGAGGAGGCTCTACCTGCATAGGAGGCTCTACCTGCATAGGAGGCTCTACCTGCTGAGGAGGCTCTACCTGCTGAGGAGGCTCAGGTCTTTTGGAGTGCAGGGGCCACTCCTGAGGACCTTCTAAGAAGTCTATGACAGGTCCTCAGGAAGTCCAGCTCTGTCCCATGGACACAGTGCAGTGGTGGACAGGAGGGTCCTGGACAAAGTAACATCAATGTGGACCATGACTGTCATCTCCAGCAGGACACTTTCCTAGAGCAGCTTCAGTGAAAGACTGATTCAACCCCTCTGTGTGAAGGAGACAAGTCCCTGTGTTCCTCAAAGTCCCAGCAGGAGGCCAGTCCCTGAGACCAGGACTAATGTAAAAGGACTTCAGGATCTTCTGTATGTTTTTGAGAATATCCACCTGAATGTCTATAGGAGTATATGATTAGGAGCCGGTGTAACGTCGGTTTACACTGCCTTGTCAAGATACACTGCCTCAGCTGTTTATGATGTAATCCAAACCTGCACATGCGCTTCTCACGGCAGCCAAAGAAAACCAAGATGGCGGACATTAGGTCCGTCCATCCATCCATTTTCTTCCCCTTAATCCATTTCTGGATCGGGGGGGTGGCAGTCAGAGCTGTACCCAGTACACAGAGCACCAGCCCCTCACTGATCCTCCTGCAGGTGGTGAGTCCACAGGAGCTGAGATCTTTCAGTGGGAGCTTCAGGCAAAGTGGGGTTAAGTGTCTTGCCCAAGGACACAACGACAGCAGTCATCAGTTGGAGTCGTGAAGTAGGTCTTATGGTGGGCTTGAACCCACGACCATCAGGCCCAAAGGCCAATGCTCTACCAACTGAGCTACTGTCGCCCCGACATTAGGTCCGTGAATCGCTTTAAAAGTTTGAATATGAACAAATAAAGACACCAATGGCAATTTGAGGCAAGATATTGATGGTTCTATGGTGCAATATGTGTGTTTTAAGAGTCAAAGTTTTGTGTAAAGTTTGGTTTAAGCAGTCAACTGCTCACTGCTACTGATTTGATAGCGTACCGTGGCTAACTTGACAGCTGTTAGCATGTAGCTGGTCTGTCGGGTTAATAATGGAAATAATAAACAAAATCTAAGTTGTAAGCATGGACCTATGTCAGTAAACTGATGTATGCAGCAGTTCAACTTGACAAGAAAGGTACTGCTATCAAAACAGTAGCAGTGTGGTTTCACAGGAGAAGTTGACTACTTCAACCAAACTTTACACAAAACTTTGACTCTTAAAACCCACATATTACAACATGGAACCATCAACATCTCGCCTCAAATTGAATCATAAGTGACATTGGTGTCTTTATTCGTTTATATTTAAACTATAACTAAAGCAGTTCACGGACCTAATGTCTGCCATCTTGGTTTGCTTTGGCTGCCGTAAGGAACGCATGCGCAGGTTTGGATTAGCCCTGGATTGGATTAGGATCCTCATACGTTACGTCTTTAGGTCACACTTTCAACCCTTCCCTCCCTCCACCTTGTTGTTGTCAGTCGCGCAGCCACAGCAGAGGCTGAGCATGAGCCTATGAAAAAAGGAAAAAAAGACAGCGAACTGCAGGAACAGTCGGGTAAAAAAACGTGTGGTTGCCGACCCGACGCATTGACGACTGTAAAGAAAGTTGAATATTGTGTCTGACATGTTTTAATTTATGCTTTTAACGAATCCCAAAACAACTTCATCAGTCAAGCTCTTTGTTGTGGTTAAGGTGGACACCTTCAAAATAAACGTGCTTCCTTTGTTGACCGGAAGAATTTGTTACATTTGTAATTTAGACATAATACTAACTGTTAGTATAATGCACTACTAATATTAAGGTAATATATTAATACTAGTGGTGATAATAATGAAACTTAGCAGAGTTATTATTTATATATAAAAAAAAAAATGTATACGTACATGTACATACATACATACATACATACATACAGTACATACATAATATATATATATATATATATATATATATATATATATATATATATATATATATATATATAATATACACATAATTGCCCGGAACAAGGCCCGGGCAATTAACAGCTATGCCCTGCCAGTGATCAGATACCCTGCAGGAATAATCAGGTGGCCAAAGGAAGAGATTCAGACCACGGATGTTAAAACTCGAAAGCTCCTTACCATGCATGGCGGGTTCCATCCCAAATCCAGCACCCTGAGACTGTACGTAAGCCGTAAAGGAGGAGGTCGAGAACCAGTGAGTGTGAGAGCCACTGTCCAGGACGAAACATCCAATCTCCATAACTACATCATGGAGAAGGCCAAAACGGATGACGTACTCAGTAAATGTCTCAGGCAGTGGCGAGATGAGGAGGTGCTGGAGGAGAGCCCATCATGGGAGAACAAGCCCCTACACGGCATGTACCACCGGAGCATAACAGAAGTGGCTGATCTCAAGAAGTCTTACCAATGGCTAGAAAGGGCTGGCCTACAGGACAGCACAGAGGCACTCATCATGGCTGCACAGGAACAGGCACTGAGCACCAGAGCGATAGAGGCCCAGATATACCACACCAGACAAGACCCAAGGTGTTGGTTGTGCAAAGAGGCACCTGAGACGATCCAACACATAACTGCAGGGTGCAAGATGCTGGCAGGGAAGGCCTACATGGAACACCATAACCAAGTGGCTGGCATAGTGTACAGAAACATCTGTGCAGAGTATGGGCTGGAAACTCCAAGGTCTAAGTGGGAAACTCCTCCAAAGGTGGTGGAGAATGAACTTGCAAAGATCCTGCGGGACTTCCAGATACAGACCGACCAAATGATAATGGCGAACCAACCTGACATCGTGGTGGTAGACAAAGGGCAGAGGACAGCCGTGGTGGTGGACGTGGCACTTCCAAGCGATGGTAACATCCGGAAAAAGGAACATGAAAAGCTTGAGAAATACCAAGGTCTCAGAGAGGAGCTGGAGAGGGCCTGGAGGGTAAAGGTGACAGTAGTGCCCGTGGTGATTGGTGCACTCGGGGCAGTGACCCCGAATATAGAAGAGTGGTTACAGCGGATCCCTGGAACAACCTCGGACATCTCGGTCCAGAAATGTGCAGTGCTAGGAACAGCAAAGATACTGCGCAGAACCCTCAAGCTCCCAGGCCTCTGGTAGAGGACCCGAGTTTAGAGAGGGATAACCGCCCGCGGAGGGCCAAAGGTGAGTGGGCAATTTTTTTATTTTATATATACATACAGTATACATGCTGCGGGACTCCCCCCTCCCTCCAACAATGCCTGCCCCTCTCTATTTTAGTCTACCCCCCCCCCACCCTCACCCATAACTTCCCTCTGATAGCCCACATTGGGTGAGCCTAGTCAGAGTAATGTCCAATCAAAAAGATCCAGCATGCTTTCTGCATGTAATGTGTTTCTACAAATGATGTCATATAACATATGTTTTGATTTCTGATGTTGTATAATCTGTCACAAAGCAGCACGATTTGCACATCTATGGAATTACATAAATGTATGTGGATTGGATTATTCACTTGTATACAGTACAACCACCAAATTTTTGCCTGTAAATCTACAGGATTATCCCCTATTATGACTGGGATTATGGGATTGGAATGGATAATACATGCATTTGGTTAAAGCGTCATTGTCATCACCGGAGTCTGAGAAAATAGGATTTGTTATTTCTATGGTATTATCAACATGTACTTACAGTATGTCTATAGAATTATCCACCTAAATGTCTTAAGCCTTATTCACTGTATTTTATTGGATTATTCACTGTACCTCTATGGGATTATACACCTGTATGTCTATAGGAATGGGATTATTAATACCTGCATTTGGTTCAGAATCTTCAGTGTTGTCTCCGGAGTCTAAGAAAATATGAATTGTTTAAAAAAATGAAATTCTTCCACAACTCTTAGAGGGGATTCATAAATCGATTCATACCAGATGTGGATTCAGACTCGGCCTCCATCTTGGACTCGGTCTCGGTCGTTGACTCGGTCTCAGTCGTGGACTCGGTCTCGGTCATGGAGTCGGTCTGGGGCTTGGACTCGGTCTCAGATCCAGACTCAGTCTCTGAGTTGGATTCATCTGAAACAAAGTTATTCAAACAAAGCTCCCAACATCAACAAACCCAATCCCTGACTTTAATGAACTATTGCTTTGGTTCAGACAATGTGAACTCTGTGTCACTCAGATGACACAGAGATAAAGACAGGGGACTGGTCATAGGTGCACCTCGACCATCTCCCACTCGCACGGGGGGAGAGATGAAGACAGGCGACATTTGGGAGCTTCAGAAACAGCCTTGGATTATGGGAGCCTCCTCCTGAAGCCCGTTTGAATTAAAGCTCAGGGTACCTCACTTTTTCCTCCCATTAATGATGCATGTGAGACGTGCCCTAAAGTAAAATGGTGTCAACTAAGACCACATCAGGGGTTTATTAACACCATCTTTTTAATTATGCATTGGTTTTATAAAGCGCTTTTTAGAACACTCAAAGTTACCAGTGTGTGCCATCGGCCCCTCCCACCACCACCATACTCATTTTAATGTGGGGGAAGTGTCATGCCTAAGGACACTATGACACACTATGACAGTTTGACACTTCACAGCCGCAGCCGCCTTGCTTGTGGTACCTGGTGTTCCGAGACGTCTTCCATCACAGTACTAACCAGGCGACGCCATAAACCTGGCCCACCTGTACCAGGGACGGAAAGGGAGCAGCGTGTGCTTCTGGGGAAAAATTTCTCTGACTCTTGGATTATAAATACAGGAGCTCCACAGGGCTGTGTTCTTTCTCCCCTGCTCTTTTCCCTATACATCAATCATTGCACCTCCAGCCACAACTCCGTGACTCAAGTTCACGGATACCACCCTCATTGGTCTCATTTCCATCAACGATGAGACCTGCTGGTGTCCTGGTGCAGTGGTAACAACCTGGCGCTGAACACCCAGAAGACAGTGGAGATGATTGTTGACTTCAGGAAGAGCACAATCGCCCTCCCTGATGGACTCCCCCATCACCTCTGTGGAGTCCTTTTGTTGACCTCAAGTGGGAGCCACTGTCAGGGACCAGTAGAGAGTACAGCGCATTGTGCGCTCTCCAAAAAGAGTTTTTGGTCGCAGCCTCCCATCGCTGCAGGACCTATACGACGCCCGAGCTCGAGCTGGTCGTATCACAGCCGACCCCTTTCACCCTGCACATGGACTGTTCCAACCCCTCCCCTCAGGCAGAAGGCTACGGTCCATTCGGACCAGAATCTCCCGCCATAAGAACAGTTTCTTCCCCTCTGCTGTTGGACCAATGCAATGAAGACTTCAAAACCTGTCCCCTGCCATTTATAAGTAAGTAAGTAAGTAAGCTTTATTTATATACCGTGTATATGCCATAATATATGAAGTGGCTTCATATATTATGAAGCCACTTTACTGCCCTTCATAACGTCACTTTACCGCTGTCACCTTACTGCTATACTGCACTGCACTGCATATCGTGTGCACCAAGTGCACTGCATAATGTATATAGTAAATCTAAATTCAATAATTTCATATTGTATGCTGATTTGTTTTATTATGCTTTACTCTATTTTCCACCTCTCTTTCATGACCGTTGCTCCGAGAGCCAAAGCCATTTCCTAGTCTGTGACTTCCTGTTACTTAAATGGGAATAAAAAGGATTCTGAATCTGATTACTTTAAGCCAGCAATGATCACTGCTTGATTTGTTTTGTGTGGGCTGTGAGTGACAAGCAAGCTGTCAATCACAGCCCAGACTACGCCCAACTCGAAGTCCCCCTTCTTGTTCCTTGGTCCTCCAGGCAACGTCCCTTATTGGAGAGAACTTGAACCCATCACAGAATTTGACTTTACCACAAATACCTGATTGTTGTGGAGATGTGTCACTGGTTTCGCTTGTTTTGCTTGGTTCACTCGGGTCGTTCAGGTCACTTGGGTCTGCAAATGTAATGTATAAGATAAAAATCACGGAAGGTGATTTGGCTTGATTCATACCAGGTTTGGTCTCGGATTCAGATTCGAGTTGAATTGAGTCCAGAACTGGAATGAATGCAGCAGTAAAAATATGATCCACGACATATCTAAAATAGAGAATGTCTGGTCTTAAACACTGGAGTGATGTGTTCTCTGGTTTTAAACACTGGGGTGATGTGTTCTCTGGTTTTAAACACTGGGGTGATGTGCTCGCTGAACTTAAACACTGAGGTGTTTAAGACTCGCTGGTCTTAAACACTGAGGTGATGTGTTGTCTGGTCTTGAACACGGGTGATGTATTCTCTGGCCACTGAGGTGATGTGCTCACTGGTCTTAAACACTAGGGTGATGTGTTTTCTGGTCTTAAACACTGGGGTGAAGTGTTCCCTTGTCTTAGACACTGAGGTGAAGTGCTCACTGGACTTAAAACTTTGGTTTTAAACATTGGGATGGGTGACGTGGTCTCTTGTCTTAAAGACCGTATGCAGGGTTTGTATCATGAGAAATAAAGTTTTAATACCATGTTACATTGGAAAAGAACTACTTAAGGTTTCAAAATCAAATGTTTTTTGTCCGATCACCCCATATCAAGAAAACATCATAGCAACGGCCTTAGAAACGAGAGAAAACAAACCGGAGCTTCTCCCTATGTGTCGTCACGGGGTGCACCCGTGTCAACCGCTTGTTGACATTTTGTTAGTCTATTTTTCATGCTAAATGTGTGGATATTCAAGATGACAAAAAGATGCGATGCAATCATGGATCTACAGTATTATAATATCTGGATAGGGTATTACTAGCTTGGAGCTGAAGGACCCATGTGCTCGGGGGATTCTTGCGGTAAGACTAAACCAGACCAAATTCACCAGGGCTACCCAGAAATTTCCCCCATAGAACTCAATGTAAAATTAAAACAGCTCGCCCTCAGCTGACAGAGAACCTAGAGCTTTCATAAAGGTTAGTTTTTGTGGCGATTTTAGTGTCCCTTGTTATCCTGAACTTTTTTTCTCCTTAAATCCTTCAATTATCTTTAAATTCACACTTTAGTGCCACAAACTCTGCTCATTTGGCAACCACTCTAACTCTGCTCTAACTCTGCTCTGATCAGCAGCTCTGATTGGTCAGAGCGCGGTAGAGCCCCTCTGTGCACGTGTATGAAAGTCACGCACGGGTATTTGGCGCAACACATCATGAGAGCTCGAACACTACACTGAAGCGGGAGGCAATGCCCAAATATAGGCAAGTTCCGCAAATCTTTCAGTCACCATGATGGCACATGCACCACTGAGCACTAACCATTTATTTGAATACGGCGTCATCTCGTCATCGTGAGCCCTGCTCACATACGCACAATAGGCTATATGGGTGGCCAAAGGATAAGAAAAAATCCAGACTTTGGACGGAAGAGAAGGAAGATTACACACGTGTTGACGAAGACAAGGAGGATGGACTAACACATGTGACACTACTATAGACTCATTGTTTCATAACAAATTTCAACTGTGATGCTGTTAATAAAGACAGTTTTTTTTGGAATCAGATGGTTATTATTAAATTGTATTTGTGCACAAACAGCCAAACAATAAGTGATAAATATCTGAGATTAAACTATTCACAAGTGAAGGATGAACGCAACAAGGCGCTGATGCGATAAGTTCAAAAAAGTGTAAAATAAACAACTGTACACTATATAAATGTTTGCTATGCAACAAAACTCTAGTCCACGGCCTCCTTGAATGTCAGGCTCGTGAACCATGAGCCCAAAATGCTTTTCCTTCGGTACCCTTTGAAGCAGTGAATCAATCTGCTCAAAAGTGCCTCGTCCTTGTTCTACTACAGCCGCTTCAAGCTTCCAACCAAAAGGTAGTCACACACGGGCCAATCACAGTGGACCTTCTCTGCAGTGCCAAAATTCTGAGGGTGCACGGGTGGTAGCGCAAGGGGTCCTTGATGTCTTGCATTGGTCATGTGACATCAGATGACGTCACAAGAGCCACCACAAGCGCATGAGTATACATAGAGTGTACACATTAAAACATTCCTATTGGTTTGTTATGATCAGCAGATCAACCTCATAGATTGATCATTAAAATGAAATTAGTCATTTCTAAAAGTTATCACATTTATTTATGGGAAAACCTTAATATTTGTTACAAGTTTGAGTCTGAAAACAGCTTTTGATCTATGGTTTATTTTTTTAGGTTTTTCAGTGAGGCCCCAGAAATATTTAACTTGTAACTCACTTTGCTCTTCACACGTTGATACTCGGTTCATAGACGAGGTATTTTTTGGTTTGGTTTTGCTGTTGGAATCGCTGTCCATTTTGAATGAGCCGGTTCCTGGTGTGACATCACACTTACGGGTTAAAGGCCGAGGCAACGCAAATGTATTAAAATAAAGAAGAATTTTTGCCAGAATCTATTTCAGATCTGCATTCATTGATTATCTGTCTTGCAATTTTGACATCCATGAATTAGTTGACAAACCCTGCACAAGGTCTTAAACACTGGGGTGATGTGTTCTCTGGGATTCTTTCTTTGCTGCTCACCATTGGAGTTGGATCCAGGGCTCTGTGCTTCTTCTTCAACTTCATCTGAAGTCAAACAATACAAATAATAATAATATTGATAATAATAACGATGACAGTAAAAATAATGATGATAGAAATAATGATAATAATGATGATGATGATGATGATGATGATGATGATGATGATGATAGTAGTAATAATGGAATAGTAATGAAGTAGGTGGAGTTAGCTGTTAGGGTTAACCCTGAGGTTTGGGTTAGGGTTAATAAAACGTTGGTCAGATATTTAAACTTTAAAAAGATTTAACCAGACTTTAACAAAGATCTAGATTAGGTTTGTTTTCCCAAGTCCGTTCTTTTATTTCAAGTACTTAAAGGTGGTAAGTGTACTCATTTGTGGTAAGAGTACAGTGAGACCAACACAAGCCTCTATAGCCGACATGAGTGTTCTCCGTCCATGGGGACCGGCCTTTGTGTGAGCGCCACCCTGTGGTGACAGACGCTCACTGCTACATGTGAAAGTCCTTCAAAAGTTACCATACTTGTATTTTTTTAAAATTCATATTTCAACCCAGTGTTGCATTCACCCGGCCATGTTCAGGGTCAGGACCAGGACCCGAACCATGACCAGGGTCAGGGTCAGGGTACCTGTTTGGTGGGTGCTGGTCTCCGCAGATGGAGCTAAGGAGATAAAAGCAAAGTTAATTTAAATGTTGGACACAAAATGGTGTCTGTTTGAAAGTGAGTTGAACACAAAATGGTGGCTGTCACCTTCTGTAGTTTCCTCAGAGTCTGAGCCTTCTGAAAACACACATCACACTTTTAAACAATGTGACATTTGGGCAAGGGCCAGGGTTATGTTCCGTGTAAGGGAGAGGGTTTTGCATAGTTTCCATGTTAACTCACCTGTGGGGGCGGGGCCAGGTGAAACAGACGCTGTTGAACAAAAAGAGTAATGTGGCTAAACTAGGAAGTGAATGAGTGTTATTATATCACTAAGACACACTCACAAAACAAACCAAACATACAACAAACGTGTACCCGTGTACAACGTTCATATATTCATGTTTTTATGTGTTATTTTCTTACTGTCGTCGGAAGTTGTGTCATCTGAAAAACAAAACTCAAATGTAAAAGTGTAAAACATAATAAAAACATGTTTTTGTTACAGACCTCCAACAGCAGAGGGGTCAGAGAGCACACCTCCAACAGCAGAGGGGTCAGAGGGCTCACCTCCAACAGGAGCAGAAGGGGCGCTAGAGAGCTGGCTGAACAGCAGCGCCACAAAGAGACACCTGTAAGACACCAGAGACATGGGAAACCTGTGAGTACATGCGACATCACAGGAAGACAGAGACATGTGAATCTCATGTACATGTGACATCACAAACATCTGAAACATGTGACACAGACATCTGCCACATGTACATCACACGTGTCCATATGTGACAGGTCTGAGCTCAGGGACAGGTCTCATTTGTTTTTGCAGATGCTGCTTTTGCTAAAGTCAAATGGAAAATTCAAATGACAATTTCCATGTGATTTGAATCCTGAAGTCTGGTTTCAGTCTGTAGGTTAAATCTAGTAGCATAGCTCACCCCTTCAGACCTGTATAGAACATAGTTGTTCCTGTCGCGACACCTTGACGTCTTCTGTATGTTTTTAAAGTAATGGACTGACTGAACTGTGCACCCACACACACTTACACCTACACACACACACACACACACACACACACACACACACACACACACACACACACACACACACACACACACACACACACACACACACACACACACACACCTCTTTACTTCAACCCCCCCTCCACTCAGATCAGTGTCTCAGACGTCTGTCTGTGGGCACTGAACCGTTCAACAAAGAACAAAGTGAAGAATCTGGACCTGAACCAGGTCTGGGTCTGAGCCAGGTCTGGGTCTAAACCAGGTCTGGGTCTGATTTAAGTTTGTACTGGTCATATGTGTTGGTTCAGACCAAAAACCTGGTTCAGACCTGGTTCATGAGTGTGTGTGTGCGTGTGTGTACAGTATATATATGTATGTGTGTGTGTGTCTGTCAGTGAGTGTGTCTGTCAGTGTATCTGTGTGCTTATCTGTGTCTGTGTATATGTGTGTCTCACCTGCGCAGCATGGTGTTGTGGTTTTCCAATTTAATGTGTGTTGCGTTGCTACAGCCTTCTTCACCTGAAAACTGACCTGTTCTAACAAACACAGCTTTTATGGTGAGACTCTAGTCACAGCCTCGTCACACCTGGACACGCCCCCTCACACCTGGACACGCCCCTTCACACATGGACATGCCCCTTCACACATGGACATGCCCCTTCACACATGGACATGCCCCTTCACCAGACCATCTCATTTCTCTGTGAGTAAAAAAACCTTAATGTTGTCAGACTGTCATCACAACCTGTCTCTCAGAGGACAGTGTCTCAGAGGACAGTGTCTCAGAGGACAGTCTCTCAGAGGACAGTGTCTCAGAGGACAGTGTCTCAGAGGACAGTCTCTCAGAGGACAGTGTCTCAGAGGACAGTCTCTCAGAGGACAGTGTCTCAGAGGACAGTCTCTCAGAGGACAGTGTCTCAGAGGACAGTGTCTCAGAGGACAGTCTCTCAGAGGACAGTCTCTCAGAGGACAGTGTCTCAGAGGACAGTCTCTCAGAGGACAGTGTCTCAGAGGACAGTGTCTCAGAGGACAGTGTCTCAGAGGACAGTCTCTCAGAGGACAGTGTCCCAGAGGACAGTGTCTCAGAGGACAGTCTCTCAGAGGACAGTGTCTCAGAGGACAGTGTCTCAGAGGACAGTCTCTCAGAGGAATGTGTCTTACAGGACTGTGTCTCAGGACAATGTTTCCTCTTGAGAGAAACCAGTCAAAAATTCCAGACTTGAGGAAGCAGTAGATTTACTGTAAGAGCCGTCTAAATCAAGTGACTGACAGCTCTGACAGGAATGTGAAAGTATTCATACCCAGGAACATTCACTCACACAGAGACACATACACACCCACATTGAAAAACACACATACATAGGACCAGCTTGTTTAGAGATTATTATAACAAATATAAATGTATAATGCACAAATGTAGTTTTACAACACACAAAAACATTTAAACTTTAAAACAAGTATTGAACCCCATTGCGCTATTACAACGCTATTGCACTATTACCTTATTATTACACTATTACACCCTTATTACACCATTATTACACTGACCGACTGCATCACAGACTATATTCACTTCTGTGTGGAGAGTCCTGTACCAACCAGGAGGGTGTTTTTCCAATAACAACCCATGGGTGACCCCTGAGCTTAAAGCCCTCCTGAACCTCAAGAAAAAGGCAGCCAGTCCTAGGCTGCTGAGGATGTATGGAGACCAGCTCCGAGGTCCTCAGCCACATTTAAAACCCGAGCCTCAGCCTGGAGAAGATAACTGTCCTATGGAAGACAGTTCCTACAGCAGTGCACACCAGGGAACCGGCTCACTGCAGACCAGTCTCACTGACCCACCTGTTGAAGACCATGGACCGGCTCATCATCATCCATCTTTGCTCTGCGGTCAGCCCCACCGCTGCAGATGCCTACAAGCCAAACATCGGAGTAGAGGACGCTCTTCCACCTGGAGCCCGTTGGGAGGGCTGTGAGGGTCATGTTTTATGTTCTCACTGTACTCTTTCCACATATGACTGGCACTGCTGCGGGGGAAGATGGAGGACGCGGGAGTGGACAGTCATCTCACTGCATGGACCATCGACTACCTCTCGGACCAACCACAGTTCGAGCGGTTGCTCAGCTGTGAGTCTGAGGTGGTAGTCTGAGTACTGGGGCCCCTCAGGGGACTGTCCTCTCACCGTTTCTCTTCACCATCTACACTTCGGACTTCACACACAACACACAAAGCTACCACCTGCAGAAGTTCTTCGACGAACTCCCCCATTGTGGGTTGTGTTTCTGAGGAGAACAAACTGCCGTAATGGTCGGTTATCATGGACTTTTTGGACTGATGTAATTTTGTTGCATCAAAACAGTATTTTTGTCATGAAAAAGTGAAAACATCCGTGCACGTGTATAAAGAATGTATATGTATAATGAATTATCCAAATGTGTTTTATTGTTATTGGTGTTTATTGTTACACCATGGATCTATGCTACATTTGCGAGGAAATTATTACATTCAAATCAATGGAGCATTCTGCGTCTACTGTGAGGAGCCGAATATTTTTTAGATAAATACTAGAACGGGGCACCCTTCCTCGAGCACTGGGACACAGTGACTCAGTTAAAGCAGCAGTAAGTATGGTTGCCAACCGTCCCTTGAAATACGGAATTGTCCCGTATTATAGAAAAACTATGAGCTCTGAAAATACGTATCGATTCAATACGGGACGGCTTTTGTCCCGTATTTTCAGAGCCTCCTTAAATGCATCACTCACTCACTGCATGACACACGCACACACACAGTAATCACAGTTTAAGCGTCTACCTTTCGGCCAATCAGTGTCAAAGGGGCGTAGGCTTGGTCACATCCATGGGTTTAATGTTGACAATCGCCAGAGTGGGCCGTGCCCGTAGCACCATCACAGCAGAAGTTTGGTAAAGTAGCGTCATATTCCCAGATTCGGACTTCCGCGGTCCATAGCTCACAGAAGCTACTTTGTTAAACAAAAGTAATTGTGCTAAAATGATCATCTCTATGTTGATTTTTCAAATCCAATGTGCTGTTTTAATGCAGAGAAATCCATTGAATCCAATCCTTAGGGAGCGTCAACAAATGTCCAGACCAGCTTTGTAAACGAACAACAGCTTTAACTGAAGCCGTGTACATGCTCAAAACTCTCAGACAATACAAATATTGACCATACAGTATCTAACTGCTACAGACTTTGATTTCAACATTTGTGAGTTGTTTTTTTAATGAATACAAATGTTTTTTAGTTTTTTTTTTCTTTTACAATAAATGTCTTTACTGTAACATACATAAATAATGTATGTTACAGAATTTGTCTTTTTTATATTTTTATTACAAATAAAAATGCATTAAGTTTCTTCTTGCCTGAGCGAGTTAGCAGCCCTGCCCCCGCTCCTAAGTCACACCACAGGTTGTTTGTAACCTAGCTATCAAACCAAAAGCGGCTTGATGTTAGCCAAGATAGCATCACTAAGAAAGAGACAGAAACAAGAGATAAAAACAATCCAGTCTTGTATAGAAAAATGCTGCATTGCGAGTTGGCACACTGATCACTTGTGTGATGAACAATGTTGCAGATTGCATTGTGACGTGTCTTTATAATAAGTTTAGTTATAAGTCTGTAACAAATTTCTGCTACAGAATTAGATGAATGTAATACATATGTACATTACTACAACAAAAAAGCTTTACATGGAGGTTATTTAACCCTCTATGGCATATCGTTGACCTTAGGCAACGAACCAGTATTTTGACCTTAACAATGGCACTTTACCTTTAATGTTTTTTTTTTTTTTTTTAAATGTCAGCAGACATGGATCTGTCCAATAATAACAGGGGTGTTGAGGTGGGTATGGCCATTTGTCTGGGGGCCGGGGAGTCCTTTTAGGAAGCAGAGTCACATGTAAAGCCTGGTTCACACGAGACGATTTTAAAATTGTCGGCCGATTTTTCTCCGTGTTAGACCCCACACGGGGAGATTAAAAATCCTGTGTCTAACCACTTTGGTCGTGCAGTGTGTGGTGCGTAGCCACACGGCAAGATCACGCAAGCCACAAACATCACACACGAACCGACACGCCCCCCCGAGCATTCCCAGGTCAGACGGAAATCTCACAAAATCTCTCGAGATCAAGCGTGACTTCAGAGTAAACAGTCATGGCGGACGAAGAGAATGCAGTGGCGATAGTGTGCAGTTTGTTGTTAACAGAGAAGACACGTAATCCAAAGAAAAGGCAATGGTCAAAGCCATGCTGCTGTGTTTTGGTTTTTTTCCGGTGTTTCCTCACCGGCTTGTCACCTCGTCTTCTTATTGGCTACACGCCGTAGTCATGGCAACGCGCTCGCTTGTCCTCGGAGGACACCACACACGACAAGAAATCGGGCCAAAACAATCCAACATGTTGGATATCCCCGATTTGAGATCGGGAGCAGTCCCGATGTCCTTCCGAGCGACGAGTGCAGTCTTAACACACCACACACGGCAGGATAATTTGTAAGATTTTGTTACGGAAATCGGAGCGTTTCTTAAGATTGTCGTAAGGGGTAAATCGGGTCTAAATCGGCCTAAATATCCTGCCGTGTGAACCAGGCTTAAGACGGTGCCCAATTTAGGTAAAATAGATGTCTTTGTTATGCAGGTTTAAATTGGAAAATATTGATTGAATAAATAAGTGACTGTGCATAGATATGTCCAGAACTATATTTGATGGTTTACATATTATTTTTATAAGAAAGTAAGTACTAAAACAGTGAATTTATCTTTGTTGCCTCAAAGCAACGTCATGCACATGTAGCAATTTTGTTGGAAGAATATGATGCTAATGAATGTCCATGTGCTGAATTGAATTATAAGCAACATACTCAATTTTTTTGTCATTCTATTCAAAATTTCAGTTTTAACTATTGTTGCTTGTAGGAAATGGACGTGAAAACGTTTTATGGAATGGAGTTAGGGACATTCCATCTGACATCTTGAGGAGGAGAGTGTCTGTCATGCAAACGGAGCACAAACGCAGCCTCTTCCACATTCTGTATAGTTCCAAATCAGCTCCCGTTAGAAGCTACCAAACTCTTCCACGTGTTCCCTATTTAAATACAGTTACGTGACGTGTTACACTACAAAGTATAGTAACACAGAAATGTAACATGTCGATTTTCTCAGCGGATAAAAAGGGCTACTATATTGTAAGGCGTAATAATACGAGGAGCACTTCGTCCGCGCACTAACTCCTAAAGACTTCTCTCCCGCTCACGCTGCTTCTATTACACGTCACGTAACTCTATTTAAATAGGGAGAATGTGGGAGAGTTTGGTAGCTTCTAACGGGAGCTGATTTGGAACTATACAGAATGTGGAAGAGGCTGCGTTTGTGCTCCGTTTGCACGACAGAGCGCACGGACAAAGACCAGACAGGCACATATCAACTAGTCTAAGGTAAGAACATATGTCAGTATGTAAAAACGGTGGCCTATTCCTTAAAAAATAAGAAAGTATAAAATCTCCATTAGGAACCACGTGACAAATGGAGTTAGTACCAAACACCATCTCCTGGTACTCATCTGAGAACCTCACTGAAAAAGTTATGTGCACCCCTGACCATAATCATCTTAAACTGCATCCCATATACTGTATGCATTCACAATAACCTACATGACAAACATGCAGGGTGTAAAATCTTCCTCAGAAGATGACAGTGGCCAATCTTCTAATTCTGGAAGCGAAGTCTCGTCTTCCCAGTCAATACTAGAGAAAGAAGAAGAGGAATATTATACTTCAGCAAAAAAGTATCTAGTCAAAAAAAAATGCAATGTAGACATGTAAATTATTAGAATTTCTATATTATATTGTTCTAATAATATCTTTGGAAGTTGTCAGCAAGACTTGTCTTACTTATTCTGAATACATAATAATAAAAATAATGTATTTAGTGGTCATAAAATCAGAATAAAACATCAGTTAGATTTAAGTAGAGAGATGTTGTTTTTATATATAAGAATAAAACTACTATCCATACAGTGCAAGTTGCAAAACTTAGTCATTGAAGAATGAAATTGTAGGGTAATAATATTACTGATTATGTTATTGTAGTATAAATTTGGTAGTGTGGATCGGCGGGTCTCCGGATCAGGGCTCGCCGTTGCACACCAGTGAGGATCTGCTTTAATTTTTATGGCACCAGCAGAGTTTGAAAAAGTCTGCACAGATCCAACTAACTTTGCCTCGAGTCAGTCTTATAATCTAATAGGTAGTGAATGCGTAAAATCAGCCAGAGATATCCAAAATGTAACAACACGACGCTTAAATGATTGAGTTAAAGTTAACGTGAATTTATTGACTACAAAAATTAAAGATGGAAAATATAACGAAGGGGATTTCTGGTCACATTAAACAGAAGTTGTATACATCTCATTTGAAACACACATCCAACAGGAGCAGTCTTACTTTGAGCAGTCCAAGGGAGGTGGTGGCGATGGAAGGATGGTGGTGAAGAATGGAGATGGAAGGATGAGGATGAAGAATGGAGATGGAAAAGCGAGGTTCTCGTCCACGTGGTCTTTGTTCGAACGGGGAGCAGGAGGAAGCCAGCAGATCGGATCCAGGCGTGGGTTCCACACACAACATGGTCTAGAATAGCGTTGCGGTGGGGTGTTCCAGGGAGCCCGAAAGTGGCTGGCGATGGAAGGTCCTCGTCTCCGACAGCGAGAGTGGCTGCTGTCCTCGTGGATGTACAGGCCCGAGATGGTGGCGGGCATAGGCCGTGTAGGAGACACGTACCAAAAAGGATGGTTGCAAGAGTGATTTCGGGGAAACCAAGAGGCAGTCTGTGAGTCCGCG